AACCTCTATTTGAGCAAAAGGTATGTGGTATTAAAATTGTACCTATTAAGTTTATTATTTTCAAAATTTAGCAGTTTTTTAATATCATAGTCCAAAATGCCTTCTACTCAGTTAACATTATATTATGGTATTCCTGTAATGAGATGGTAAAAATAAGCTGTAAGTAAGTCCCGTTTTGACAATTTTGCTGTAGTAACGCTAAAATGATTTAAAGTAGATAGTACACGAAGTGGCAAAATATGATATGCCTAGATGAAATATTTCCATTATGCTGATTATGAACTATTAATGCTAATAAGGAAGCTATTGTTGAATAATATCTTTGACTGACCGGTCAAAACTAATAGGTTCATCTTTTTTCCATTTCTGTTATTTATCTTCTTTCTACCCTATACAATCATTTATTGCATTTACTATTTTCCATTTAAATATAATACACAAATAAGGTTTAAACTTATTATAACACTTATTTCAGCTTTTCAGATGTTATTTTGGTTGTAGAAGCAGAAGAATTTCACGTCCATCGTTATTTATTAGCATCACGCAGCAAATATTTTAGGTATTTAATTTTTATCATAAAGTATATTTCCTTTGACCTTTTTTCTTGGGTAGGTGAAAACTATTTGTTTTATTATTATTATTGTTTTTAATTTTTTTTTAGTTGTATTTTTTGACCATCAGATCTAAAAGTTAGATACAAACTAAATTTTATTTACCTGTATTTCGGAGAATTCCACATCAATTCGGGTTATCGGATTCATCCCGTCGAATTTTCATGTCCATTAGATTTCCATGTTCGTTGTGACCTAATAAAAGATCTTTTTTTTTTATTACTTTCACTTATTATTAACGATGCTGCTGTCTTAAATAATTTGAAAGCAAATTGAATATGCAGATGGATGTATTTAAAATTTTAAAAAAAAATTGTTATATAAATTATGATACTCAAAACAAATGGTTTCATCGTCCCAAAAATGGTATAACTAATATAAAGTAGAGTACAATTATCTCACTTCAAATAAAAGGGTATCGTTTCTATCGTTTTATTTCATAGTTTAATGTTTGTAGTAATATTGTGTATTTTTTTAGTGTTTTATTGTATGGAAGTCATAACGAAACCAGTAAAAGTAGAGTGAATATAAATGAAGTACCAGTAACGATGTTTAAAATAATTCTTAAATATATTTATACTGGTCGAATACATTTAATTGGTTTTAAGGTAATTAAAAATCGAAACTGCTTAACAGTTATTAAGGGGAATGTTTATTCCAAATTTAATACAAATAAAAACTAATACAAGTAGTCACTGCCTAAAAGGGCTACATAACCGATTTCAATTTTTTTATATTGTTATAAAATATAAAAAATTTTCTAGAGCGGAAAGATAAATTTTGTCAAGTATTGCCTACCTTTTGGCCCTTAATAAATCTTTATTGCTTGGTACAATCGACATAAGTCAAAAACAGTTAATATTATAACAAATAGACATGCGCGTGTTGTCATTATCAACTATTTAAACATACTAATACATTATCAGCTTATTTTAGGAGACCATTAATAACACGACCTTACATTATTGTACCAAAATAATCTAATTATTTTCCATAATTTTTTTCAAAGACAAGTCAAAAATTAATATTTTTGATATAGGGCTGTGTAATTATTTGGCCGCTTTTATATCGCACACCCGCTTCAAAAGTGGCACAACTGGAAAATTGCCCTTTTCCAATAGAGTCATTTCAAAAAGTACAACATTTTGTTACATTTTTTGTAACTGCATTAATTGATCAATTTATTTAGTTTTTTTCACTATACTCTCTATGAATGCTCCTCATCCCTATAAACTGTCAACATTCTCTATTTTTAATAATAATATCTGATAGTATTGTATCAGTAAAATATTGTAATATCAAAAGTTACTTTTGTGCCATCTATCGGTGAAAAATAATAATAGACTTATGACGTTTTTACACAATAAAAATATGATATTTTTTAAATAATGCTATAATAACCTCGAAAATCATGTTTTTCAGCTGTCACTTTTTAAGCGGGGGTGCGATATGTTAGATATGTTAAATTAAATTATGCATTTAATCGCAAACAAGTTAATGAAGAATGACTAATCACATTTTTTATTCTTTATTTTTTAGGATACAATGGTTTTTGAATTACTAAGGTTTTCCGTTTATTTTGGTGTTTCAAGCTTAAAACATTCACTACACGAGTATTTGCAAAGAGATATTTATTTAGACAATTTATATTCGTGTTTGGATATGGCACGACACTATCAAAACAAAGAGCTCGAAGACTTCCTTATCGATAACAACGCTTGGGGTATACTGCGTTCTGAAGATTTTCTGTCTTTGTCATCTGTAATGTCTTTGTTTTAAATAAAAACATTGTATTGATCATGTTAGGTGTAGAGTTTAGAAAAAATTATTATTTTTAGGAAACTCTTCAAAATATTCTCAATCGTGACACGTTTTTGGCCAACGAATATGATATATTCGATGCGGTTTGTCGCTGGTTCAAAAAGAACGAAAAAAATCTAAAATATGATACAAAAATCAACATTTTTTCTGCTGTCAGATATTCGTTGATGGATGCTGAAGACAGTTCTCTTGTTAGCATATCACCACTGATTCGTTCGGATTTACGTTTAAGGAATATAACATATAGACTATCGAAGTCACCAGACCACCGATATCGAGGACAGCTAAGTATGCTTGATGTGCACATCAATTTGTAATTCGAAAATTATGGTGGTTTAATGATTTTATTTTTTAGAACCCAATGTGAATCTTGTTGCTGAGCCTCAGGTTTTTGGGGTTGTCAGTGTTATGGACGGCGATACTACAATAACGTTGCGTCATCCATCATTTATAAACTATATTGAAATAACATTAACGGATGAAGGTGCGATTAAGGAACCAAGGTATGTTTTTAACTTATACATATTTTTAATTTTAATGGCCATTATTTAAAAAAATGTTTTTGAATAATTATTCAAAACATTCTTGACTATGGTTCATGATTGATTTTATTTATGAATATCAATTTTTATATGTGGAGAATTTATTTTTATTACAAGTAAAGCAAACACGTTTATCAAAGTTTTATAAAACTATTTTTATTGCTTATAGGCTAGTTGTCATATCTTATATTCGACATTTTTTTCCAGAACTCTGATCCTAATATTTAATTTTGTATAAATATTTACAAAATATAACTCTACATATTATTCGAATGATTTGATATTTTAGGTATTACTCTTATTACATTGAAGTTTCAATAACTGACAAGAAGTACAGTTGGACACGTGTTATAGACCATTCAAATGATAATTGCCGATCAATTCAACGATTATGGATTGATCCACGCGTAGTTAAGTATATCCGCATTGTTAAAACCAGAAGTAATGCCAATGTGACTTTTAGAATTTGTAATGTCTCGTACAACACAACACAAATGCAGAATAATTATTAGTATAACATTTGTGTTCATGGCACGATTGCCATTAATTCAAGATATTATTATCAAAGGTTTTTTTTCCTTTTACTCATATTTGTTTTTTGTTTTGTTTGATTAATATAATTAAATTTTAAGATTTTTGCTTTATATAAAAGTATAGATTGTTTTATACAATAAATGTAATAATTGAGGGTTCTTTCAATAAGTCACCTGTTTTATTTATTTTTTTCCATACTAGATTTGTTAAATTTTAGGAATATCTGCATTATTTTTACTTGATGTTTAGTGGTATAAATCATAATAGGTATCTCCAAAAATGTTGGGCTATATTTGTCTATGATTATGAATTGATAAATCTGTCGCCACTAACTGGCGTGCTTGTTTCCTTGTTTTGCAATTTATGTGTTCCCATCCTTGAAAGCACAATGACCAAGATGTCGTAAGACAGTCGTCCACGTAAATTTCTATTTGTAACCAGTCCAAAAACATATCCATTTTCCAAATATCTAAAACCAATATGTGGAATACTTATTTGATTAACACAACATTTTATGTATGGTATGTATGTTTTGTCCATAATGAGTGGTAAGGTAAGTTACTAAGGTACTTTTTTACAATACTATAATATAAAATATATAATTTATTCTTTGAATAAAAAAAAAAAAATAATATCTCAATAATTTTATATTTTGTATACATTTTATTATATTGTCGTATATTTGACGTACTGCACTTTTAATTCATTTTTTTGAGATTTTAAATATTAAAAAAAAACGTTTTAGATATTTTAAACATTTTATAATTAGACTATGAAAAATGTTTTCCATGTAATCTTTATTTTTGAGTTTTGATTTCATAATCGTAGTTCGGAGCTTTGTATGAGCGCTAATAGTGTACCATTATCTCATCCACCTCCACCGCGCTAGTCTAATAAACAAATAATTGTTCGTAATTCGTCAACTAAAAATATAGTACATTTGTAGTTTCAAAATTCGATAATTATTACTTTCTGTCCCTATAACATTTTCCTTAGAACAAAACTTTGTTTCTATTGTCGGACTACTAACCTATTTTCCGTTTTTTTTTTCATAAAGTTAACCTTCATTTAAAATGTAATTAATATTACTTAGAATTTTACGACAAAGATGACTTTTTGGATTCAAGATTTTTAATAAAACAATTACATTATTGAAAATCTAATACTCGATTCATTGTCTTATAATATATTATCCGTTATCTGCAAACAAAAGTATATAAAGTCTTTTGAATAAATTTAAAACATAATGAACAAAAAGCTTTTTGTCCATCAAAATGTCTAGGTATTCAATAGATTATCTTCTCTTAGCACCGTTTTATGAACGTTAAAATACTGAACACTCTGTACGCAGTGTGAATTTAACATGAACAACTGAACAAACTAAACTGAATAACAAAGGAATTGCGTACACGACTTGCCGTTTTACAATTTTAAGTCAAACCGTAACAATGTTGTTTTAAGAAAATCTTCTATTAGTATTCTAACTAGAACTTGACGGATATAATATAGTGGACTAGTTCTACAAGAAGAGTGCAGAAAAAATGTCACGTTCAAACCTCTTATCATCACGGTTTGGTCTAGCTAACGCGACGCTAATTATGTTTTGTATACTTGCCCATTATGTCGAAATGCAAACGACCAACCTTCACATGGGCATTTTGGAAACCCGCGAAGATCTTCGGATTGGGATGGAACAAGACGTGCAGCAGTCCGCAGAAAGCTCACAAGAAAATAATAACGAATATTACAAACGACTCCAATGCAGCTACGCTTTATCTGCGTTACGTCACTTGCAGCTTACCGAACAATGGGTGTACGGGTCTAACAATGAATTTAAGTATATTACCGTCTACGACTATGTATTGTTCGATGCTGAAGCCGCTTCGATGTTAGCAACCGTCCACATTGTGCCCGTACATAGTCACTTGCGGGAAATCCTATGGACGTTATGGTTTTACACGGTCAGGGTGCATAGTCTGTTATTGAATGGCAAGGCCGGCGGTTCGTTAAACACTGGGTTCATGTTCAAAGCTCATCGATCCATCAAGGAGTCTCTACGGTCGTTTGTGACATCCAATATGGGCAAATTTGAAGACGTGAAAGCAAAACTAAACGCAATAAACGCAGAGAAAATCCCAGTAGAAAAAGACGGCATTGCATGGGTGTTCACAAACAAAGGATGGCTGAATTATCAAATGGCGTTCAACGAAAAGCACGGGGTTTCGACCGAAGGTAAGAAACAAATATCGTTCGAAACTCTATCGTATATACACAAGTCGGACAAAATCGGTGAAATTGTAGTCGAATATTTTGGCAAAAAATACTGGACAATTGTAAAAAAGACATTGCACGAATTGTACGGTATCGCGACGAGTCTGGACATTACCATAAGCTATCAGATTTTATACCTGTGGCATGTTAAAAACGGGATAATGAAATTACTTAAACTAATATTAATGAAATTTATTAAGAAATATTTAGACTACTCGGTGAGGCTGCAAGATTACAGTAAACTCCGTAGGCTGGACAAAGACATGACTTCCATGTTAAAAGAATACTACGAGTGTTTTGGCGAACCGTCAGAGGGCGACTCATTTGTACAATTTTTCGGGGACCGTTATTCTTTTAAAACATTCCACGAGAAAGTCAGTACGGATATAATAAGACAAACAAATTATTATCCACCTTGTACAGACATTGAAAACATTTCTGATTATTATTTGTTACTAGTTAAAGAATCTAACATGACAATATCGAAAAAAACAGAAGACTGGCAAAACATTGGTGCTTTTTTCGAAAAAGTTAAGACATTATTTTCCGACAAGTCATTTTATATGTTTCCTTTTATCTCCCAATCATTTAAAAGTTTGAAAGAATCTGAAAACCGGTAACACAAAATAAGTGTAAATCATTTTAAAGTTATTAACGATATTATAATATTTTTTTTTATTCCTAAGTCACAAGACTGTTAAGATTATAACTTTTTATATTATGTTGTAACTAGTTTGCCATTTTTACAAGAAATTTACTTGTATACTAATTTTTTTCAAAACATTGTATAAAAATGTAATTCAAATAAAACCATTATCGTGGGCCGAGTATAAATATATTTAAAACACTTCATTTTTTGCAAATTATGAATTAAATAAATACTTGCTGATTTTGTTTAAGACAGTTTATGGTATGTTATAATTATTTTATAAACACCCAGTTTTAATAAGAAAATAATATTAAAAATGTTTTTTTTATTCAAACTTTTATTTTATAACTCAGTTAAAGAACTTAATAGAAAACACTCACAATTCTGTTTACCGGGACTTCACATATTATTTTGTTCAAGCTGTTGACATAAATTTAAATTTAAATTTGTATATAATGGTTACAACTTAAATGTAATTAATATTGAACAGGCAATTAAAGTAGAAGTTCTCGTTGATTCAACTATTGTTACTAACAAACAAGACGGATAAACATTATGTAAACCACATCGATCATTATCACACATTTAACATTATGTCTAAATAATTTGTCGATAATTATACAAAACTATGAATTGTATATCAGTTGGGTCGATCTCCTTCGTCTAGTCTTGGCGATAAAATAATAAATCGTTTAGCAATAGTTGATTTAATTCATAATATCGATTAAAAAAAAGAATGTCCCCATTTATACAAACAAGTACCCAAGTATATATTTTGTTGTACTATAAAATCATCTATAAATAATCATCATGTTTTATATTCATCTATAAAATTGGAAAAACCTAGCAGTGAAGAACTTCCTGGATAATCATTTCTTATTCTGTCTAACCTTCCAAAAAACTAGTATGTTAAGTAAACAAGTACTATTATGGGCCTAATGCTGTACAATGTCCTAAGCTACGCGAGTTTAATTTATGTTTCAAGTTTCAAAAGCTTATCTTAAGAGGAAACCGAGATAATATGTGGGTAAGAAAAACTGGGTGAATTATTTTGTGTAAAGATACACCGACATTGATGGAACTGGCCTGGCACACTACCGTGCGCACAGATTATGCGTGTGATCAACAAAACTGACGTAATTTTCAAATCTGTCTTTTATGTTAAACAATATACAACAATACCATGTTTGTGCGCCTGTACAAAGAAAACGTACACTCTGTGTTAACACAATGATACTTTAAAAACATGTCCCATTAAGTGTAAAAAAATATTGTACTCTTTTGTAATAAAACTAAATGTTTAGATTGGTATTCAATATCTACTGACAAATTTTTCTTTATAGTATTTTTTAAAGTGTTTTATTTTGATATTATATTAACACGTATTATAACACTATGCTGATTTACTTTTTAGCATTTATTTTTTTATGGCCAACTCCAGGTAATAATATATTTCACTAATACATAAGTACTTTTTTTCTTTATAATTTAATTGCAGCAATCAATAAGCTCACTAAACTTATCGTTAACTATGGTGTTTTGTTTTTTGCTCAATAGTAAAAATAGATAGACATTTATAATTGTGTTAATTCCGTATGGAAACATTTAAAAAAATATTATTTTACACTATACACGAAATATTCTAATTTGAATCTTTTTTTGGTAAGTTTTAAAATGTTATCGACTTTTGAAACGAATTGCATTTTTAAAAAGTAAACTCAATATTCATGTTATCTTTTAAATTTCGAGAGTTGATTACGCTTTGGAGAATAGTAAAAACTCTGTATGCTATTTTCGTTTAGCTTTAAAAAATATTGCTCCCTTCTTTAACACACACACATATATGTACAACTATTATAATAATAATATAATATTTATCTGCAGCGTATGATTAATAATAAAAAAAAACTATTTGTTAAATCAAAACATTGGTATGATCAAAAAGACTGACGTCAGATTCCAAATCTGTGTTTAATTTTTAACAATACCATATTTATGTAGCTATACAAAAACCGTGCACCATATGTAAATTCAATTATTCTTATTTAATATATCTTATGAAGTATAGAAAAAAATAGTGCAGTATTAAAATACAACACATACATCTTTGGACTGGTTTTTATATATTATCATTATTGTTTTCAAAGTTCGTTTTGTATCAAAATAGCCATTTTTAAAAAGTGACTGCTGGTTTTTTCCCTGTACCCTTCAATTTAACCTCTACTTCAGAAGCATAATGCATTCTGTTGATAACTTTTCATCAAGTAACTTTCAATTTTAGCATAAGGTTAGTTTTGAATGTTAGTTAAAGTTTCCTCGCTTTTTTAGGCATTTATTTGAGACAATCATTTTGTTCTCCTTCTTTATTCATTACCATGTCACTATAATGGTTTAAACCATGTAAATAATAAAATATTCTTTTTAGCAATTGCTTAAATTACTAGAGAGTTCAACATAATATTTTGTACGTTTTATAGCTGTGTTATTTTGCTATGAAATCATTGTATAAATTATATTTTAATTTAACAGGTAGTTCAAGAAATATCACTGATAATATCACTGGCATTTTTGTTGTTTAGCCAAAACTCTTACAATTTTCAAATTCATACATTTATTTCTCACCTAAAAACATTACTTATACAAGTTGTTATTTAACTGTATATTGTAATACACCTGCTTTAAATATTGTAATATATACTGTGTCGTATAATGTAATTTTTTTTCAACTAAAAATGTTATTTATCTGTATAATTTACCACACCTTCTTTGAAGATTATTATATATAAGATATTATATACTATTATAATATAAGATATTATATACTGTGTCGTAAAATGTACTTGTTCCTATACTGGGTGCACGGAAATAATACATAGTTGGTCCAACTAAAATTAAGTCCAACCCGTTCCAACTATGCCACAACCCCACTGTACTAGCTTTTTTTTATAGTATGCACGTTAGAATTTATGTTTTAAAAGTTGATTAGTTGAATTTATCATGTTCTAATCTTAAAGGTTATATGACGCATCCTTCGTCTTCTAAAACACACAGTAACGAACAAATCGACCACACTCACTTCTTGGTCAGCGACATAGGCAGCCTCTATCTAAGCGAAAGGTATGAAGTATTGAATTTGTACCATTAAGCATTTTATTATTTTCAAATCTAAGCAAGTTAATTTTTTAGTTTTTAGCACAATGTATTCTGCTCTGTTAATATTATAAATTGTTATACCTTAATAAAATGGTTAAAGTAAGCTGTAAGTGTGTCCCGATTTGTCAATACTGGTGTAGTAATTCTAATTTGATTTATAGTAGGTAGTGCACAAAGTGGAAAAAATTGATATGCCTTTCATTATGAACTATTAATGCTAATAAGGAAACTATTTTTGAATAATATCTTTTCCTGACCTGTCAAAATATATAGATTCATCTTCTCCTCCCCTACTGTTCTTCATATTCGTTCTCCCTAATTTATTCATTGCTTATATTATTTTCAATTTTAAATTAGTGACTAAGATAAAATTGAAGCATATTAATTGTAAAACACATTTTTTAGCCAACTATCTTTATCAGAAATTATACAGAATTTAGTGTTACTTTAATTTCTTATGTGTTTTGTGAACTTATTTTAATACTTATTTCAGCATTTCAGATGTTGTTTTAGTTGTAGACGGAGAACGATTGCCCGCTCATCGTATGATATTAGCCTCACGGAGCGATTTTTTTAGGTAATATATTCTTACCATTAAGTATATTTCCTTTGGCCTTTCTTATCGTTGGGTAAAAAATATTGGTTTTATATTTAATATTTTTTTTTGTAACTATAGTTTTGGAACGCAGGTCTAAAAGTTAGGCTTAAATTTAATCTTTTTTTACCTTTATCAACCTTACCCCTTAGCATTTTCGTGCAAATTGGACTTTCTGGTTCGTTGTTACCTATAATAAGAACCCTATTTTTTTAAGATGCTACCTTCCTAAATATTATGAAAATAAAGGGAACATGCCGATAGACGTTTTCAAAATAAAATAAAACTTGTTTTATGTATTAGGACTCTCTAATTAAAATGCATTTATCATTTCAAAAATGGTATACTTAATATCAAGTAGACCAAAATTATCACGCGCACTCCTATAAATTCCCGTTTTTATCTTTTTACTCCATAATTTTTTTTTTTAGTAATATTGTATTATTTTTAGGGTATCTTTTTATGGAAATTTTAAAGAAAACAATGATTTGGAGGTGACAATAAGTGAAGCACCAGTTACCTTATTTAAAATACTACTTAAATACATTTATACTGGTCGAATAAACTTAAGTGATCTTGAGGTAATTCACGCAGCTTAGCGGTTATTAAATGGCATAAATATAATTTGTATTAGGGCTGTGTGATTATTTGGCTGATAGTATGTAATCGAAAACAGGTTAATGATAAAAGATTAAACACATTTTTTTTTTTTTTAGGGTAGAGAGGTATTTGAATTACTTAGGATATCGGATTTTTTTGTTGTTTCAAACTTAAAACTTTCACTGCACGAGTATTTGCAAAGAAGCATTAATGTACGCAATGTATGTTCGTTTTTTGCTATAGCACGACACTACCCATACAAGGAGCTCGAAGTCAAATCACTCAACTTTATCGGAAACATCGCTTTGCATGTATTGAGAAAGAAAGATTTTCTTTCTTTGTCATCCGTAATGACTTTATTTTAAATAAAAACTTTTATCGTGTTAGGTGAATAGTTGAGAAAAAAATTGTATTTTTAGAATGACCTTCAAGAAATTCTCAATAGTGACTCGTTTTATGCTAACGAATTTGTTATATTTCGTGCGGTTTGTCGCTGGATCAAGAAGAACGAAAACAAGCTAGATCATGATACTAAAGTCAAAGTTTTATCTGCCGTCAGATATTCGTTAATGAGTGCTGACGAAATGTCTAAGGCTAGGAAATTAAAACTAGTTAATTCGAATATAATTTCAGAAGCCATACAATTTAGAAATACGTCGTCACCAGAGCATACATTCCGAGGACAGCTAAGTATGCTTGCTGTACACGTCAATTTGTAATTGTATATTATGTTGGTTTCAATAATTTTATTTTTTAGAACCCAATGTAAGTCTTATTTATCAGTCTCAGAATTTTCCAGTTGCCAATGACATTAACGGCGGTACTAATATGATAAAGTTGGATAATCCATCATTTATAAACTATATTGGTATGTTATCGGATGGAGGTAGCATAAATCCCAGGTATGCTTTTAACTTTCATTTATTTTTAATTGAAATGGGTATTATTTTAAAAAATGTATTTGAATAATTAGTTATGTATAACAGTTTTTATTTTTCAAGAATTTATTTTAATTGCAAGTAAAGCAAACAAATGTATTATTAATTATTTTATATTCATATTTTGTATTAATGATTCGACAACTTTTTTCACAACTTTGTTCTAATAATTAATTTTATATACTATTTTGAAAAATATCACTACTCTAAACATCATTCGAATTATTTGATACTTAGGTGTTACTCATATTACATTGAAGTTTCAATGGATCAGAACGATTGGATACGTGTTATAGATTATTCAAACTATGATTGTCGATCAGTTCAACGTTTGTGGTTTCATCCACGCTTGGTTCGGTATATACACATTGTTGGAACCAAAAGTACTGCTAAGGCGACTTTGAGAGTTTGGGATATCAAGTACAATATACATGAAATGTACAAAGTGGAAATAAAAAATGGATTAGTCGGTAAGGAAACCAATGAAGTAACTAATTTTAAGAAAAAAAAAATTATTATATATATAAATATACATTTGTCTAATTTATTCATTTCAATTAAGTTCCTAAGGACAAGTATAATGTCGCATCAAAATATATGAATGCACTTGTAATTAATGGTCAAAATAGTGTCAATAATCATTCGCTATTAGATGACTATTATGAAAACTACGCTAGGTATGACAGATACACGTATCATCTGCTGGGATCGGGTTTTATATTGGTTCATCTTGCACAACCGTATATACTTAGTTCAATGAGGTAATAGTATAAATATCTTAAAAATGTTATAGCACTCTTTTCACTATGCTGACCAGGCTCACATATGTTTAAATTTGACAGTTTTTGTTCAAACTCATTTCTAGTCATTCAATAATTTCTCTTTATTTTACTCAAACTTTGCACGTCTCGTTTCTTATTTCATTCTCAGAGCTTAAGTCTCTAAACTCGCAAACATTATTTATCAGACTCATGCTTAATTAAATGTTTTGTGTTTTGATAAGGTCTTTGATCCAAATATATGTCTATAACACCTGTCCCTCTATTTTGTATTATTGCATTTATCTAGCTAGACAATAAATGTATTTTTATTTAATCGAATATTATATTATTGCCATAATTGACAGGTTGCTGCTTTGGGGCGGCAAAGATCAGTTTTACAGTTATAAAATTGAAGTTTCTCTTAATAAACAAGACTGGGAAATGATTGTAAAGAAATCTGAGGAGCTGACACAATCTTGGCAGGTGTTGAAATTTAAACCCAGGCCGATACTCTACATTCGTATTACTGGCGTTAAAAGTTCAGCAGGCAATGTAAGTTCAATTGATATATATGTGATTTTTAATTTTTTAATAACACTTTTATGTTGTAGGATTTTCGTATTATATATTTGGAGGCCCCTGCTCAAGTAACATTAGATTCCAACGCCATTGAAGAAACATCATCTTAAACACCAGACGTTTAAACCAAATTCTAATTCTAAGTATATATTTTGTGTTCATTGTACGCTTGTCATGAATTAAAAATATTATTATCAAATTATTTTTTTCTCTTTTATTTTTTTGTTTTGTTTAATTAATTATAAATTTCCCAATTTATGGGAAATGGAGATTGTTCATGAATTAAATGTATGTGAGTACTTTCTTCAATATCAGATAATCTGCTTCAAATTTTAGATGCCATTGATACGGGCCCGTAGCAATAAAAAATGTGTTATTTTAGTTTAGCTAAAACTCACTAAACCATAAACGAGTTTTCGCTTTAGCGATTTCTTACATTAGCCGTTAGTTCAAATACGAAATTATTATTAATAAAAAGGCATTAATAGTGGGGAGTTCACTTTTGTGAAACACCTCTTGCCAATCGAAAGAAAATTATGTTTTACACTAGATAGCGCCATAAAATAAAAATTGCAAATGCGCCGCTATTGAATTTTGAAAAGAAGTTGGCGAAATTTAGGTAAAAACTACTTAGGTTAGACCAAGCATATTAGCTACTTTGTGTATGGGTATTATTGTGTCTATTATAACATTTTCCTTACCTTTGTTGATTTTCGTCGTCTACTGGAGAAGTCGGTATGTGTTCTATTGCAATAACGGATTCAAACCGAATTAAAATATCTACCTCGACTTTTATTTTAGGTGTGTTGCATATTTCTCGAATAAAAAAACAATAATTACTACTAAGATATAGTGCCGTAAAAAAGATAAGGTATCTTAAAAAAATCATATTACTTATTCGTGTTTCCATCGGTTATAGTTTTGTTATTAACGGTCGAACTACTACTCTGTGTTATTTCAAAGTAATTTAATTTCATATTATTCAATGAGTTACCGCTTGGTTGTCTGTTCATTATCTTCTTTTTGTTTTTTCTTTGTCACACAGTTACTCCTACAATATTTTTAATTTTGTTAGATTTTGATCTTAATTGCTGTTTAGTTTCACTTAATTCAGTGAAACATTATATCGACGATATCTCCTTGGGATCGGACTGGACTGCTTTACCGCGTCTTTGGACGAATGAGATGTAAACATTTTCCACATTTATTTTGTTTTTAAAGATATCAAGGTTGTTACAACTTAAGGTCGAGTGATAGTTATTCAGAAAATCCTAAAATTTAACAGGGAACAGTAAGGGAAAAACAAGCAAAAAATAGTTGACTAATTAAAGGTCCCTTAAATAACACATTTATTAAAAAAATAGTACATCATTTTACATAACGCGAAAATACTAAAATTGAATTCATTAATCTAACAAAATCAAAATAAATATAAATATAAAAGAGAAAAATATCATTTGATAATATTATTTTTAATTCATGGTAAGCCTGCAACGAACTAATATAGACGATTTTAGTTGGAGTTTGGTTTAAATGACCAGAGCATGAGTTAGTGCATTTGTCATCGTAGTATCTGTATCGTTGTTTTCCTGAAAAGATAAAAAAAAAAAATTAGAGTATGTGTTACTGCAAAGTAGTCTTTAACGACATTAGAATCCAATGTTACTTGAGCAGGAGCCTCCAAATACACACAACGAAAATCCTAAAACATAAAATTGTTATAAAAAGTTTTAAAAAAACACTTTCAAAAACACTATCAATTGAACTGACTGTGCCTGTTGAACTGGAAATGCCAGTAATACGAATGTACAGTACAGGTATAGGTAGAAATTCCAACACCTGCCAAGATTGTGTCAGCTTATTTTTGTTGGAAATCATTTCCCAGTCCTGATTATTAAGAGAACCTTCAATTTTGTAAATGTAGAATTGGTCTTTGCCGCCCCAAAGCAGCAATCTATAAATTATAACAACAATAATACTGTCTTAGTTTAAAAATGAATTAAAGAGTCGAATAACAATTGTTTTGGCCAAAATAAACTCATTTATGTTTCACTCATTTTTACTTTTTTTAACTACTTTCTAAGTAACTTTGTTGTCCAAGATGATGAAAAAATTCATACATTTTATTATGATTTTTTTTTATTAAGATCAAATTTGTTTTTATTTTGATTAGTTTTGTTCTTGTTATTAGTTTACATGACTATTGCTAATTGGTTTAATAAACCACCGATCAATTTACAATTAAAAAAACAAAAATACATATATTATATATTATATATTTATATGCAATAGTGCAAATTGGGGGATTGGGTGTTCCTACATCCTAATAAATAAATTTGGATCATGAATCGTATCGAAAAGACAAAACATTTAATTTATCTGAAAAAAAATTATTTTGTACGAGTTGTAGGCTTAGGATCTGAGAAGGAATTAAGAAACAAGATTTGCAGTGTTTGAGTGACAATTCTAAAATAACTTATCTATAGACCGTGTGTAATTAAAAAACTCAATCCAACGTTTGTCAAAATCAAGCTTATGTGGCCATGTTCAGCATAGTGAAATTATTGCTATTTAAACTGCAAGATATTTATACTATTACCTCATTGAACTAAGTATATACGGTTGTGCAAGATGAACCAATATAAAACCCGATCCCAGCCGATGATACGTGTATCTGTCATACCTAAAGTAGGATTTTCCATACTTCGCGTAGTGTTCTGAGAAGTCTTCTAATAGCGAACCATTATTAATACTACTTTCACCATTGATTACCCCAGCACCCCTATGTTTTGAAGTGACATTATCATTGGTAGGAACTGGATTGAAATATTTAAATTAGAAAAATATACATTCAAAAATAGAAATTACTTCATTGTTTTCTTACCGACTAATCCGTTTTCGATATCCACCATCTGCATATTTTTTGTTTTATACTGGACTCCCCAAATTTTGAAGGACGCATTAGCAGAACTGTTGGTTCCAACAAAGTGTATATACCGAACTATGCGTGGTTGAATCCACAAACGTTGAATGAATCGACAGTTATATTTTGAATAATCTAGAACACGTATCCAATCTTGCTGATCCATTGAAACTTCAATGTAATAAGAGTAAACCCTAAAGAATCAATTAATTCGAATACATTTTAGAGTGATGATTTGTAAAAAAATTATATGAAATAAATATTATAAACACAGTTTTGAAAAAAGTTGTCGAATATTGAATATAAGATATAAACAACAAATTCTTAATAAATAATAAGAATAGGAAAATAATTGTTCAATCATTGATAAATTTGTATACATTACTTATAAATTATAAAAGTTCTCGTCAAAAAAAAAAATGTTTTTTCATAAATAAAATCAATCATGAATTAAAATCACGAATGTTATGAATTATTCATTTACATTTTTTTTAAATACTACCCATTTAGTTACAAATATTTATAAATTAAAAACATACGTTAGACGGTCAACCATATAATCAAACCATAACGATATTTCAATATAGTTAATAAATGATGGAATATGCAACTTTATCATAGTAGTACCGCCATCATGGTCATCGGCAAATGGAAATTTCTGTGAACTACTAACAAGGTCCACATTAGGATCTGAATAATAAAATTATTAAAACCAACATAATTTACGAATCACAAAGTTGTGTGTAAATCGGGTATACTTTGTTGTCCTCTAAATTGATGATTAGCTGGTGACCACGTGTTTCTAAATTGTATGGCTTCTGAAATGTTATCTGAACTAACCACTTGTGATTGTCTAGCCTCAGACAGTTCTTCATTACTCATTAATGGATATCTGACGGCAGATAAAACTTTGATTTTAGTATCATGATCCAGGGTTTTCTCTTTGATCCATCGACAAACCGCACGGAATATAACTAATTCGTTGACAAAAAACGTGTCACGATTGAGAATTTCTTGAAGAGCTTCCTAAAAATAATAATTATTTTCAAATTATCATCTACCAAGACCAATATAATGGTGATGTTAAAACCAATAACATTACGGATGGCAAAGAAAGAAAATCTTCCTTTTGCATTACTTCCAAAGCGTTTTTATCGATAAAATTGAGTGATTCGTCTACGAGCTCCTTATAAGGATAACGTCGCGTAAAAGCAAAGAATGAACACACATTGTTCACATCTATGTTACTTTTTAAATACTCGTATATTGGAAGTTTTAAATTTGGAAAACCAAAAAAGTCCGAAATTCTAATGAATTCGAATACCTCGTTATCCTAAAAAACAAAAATGTGATTTATCTTTCTTAAATTACCTGCTTTAGAACAAACATGTAGTTTAATTTAACAGATCAAACATATACTATCTACCAAAAAATCAGACAACCCAATTACAAATTATGTTTATGCCTTTTAATAACTGATAATATGCGTCGATTATTTGTTACCTCAAGAGTACTTATGTTTATTCGACCAGTATAAATATACTCAAGAAGTATTTTAAATAAAGTAACTGGTGCTTCGCTTATTTTCACCTCCGAGTCATATGTTTCTTTATGACCTCCATACAATAAGCCCCTAAAAATATTACCAAACATTACTAAAAACATTAAGTTATGGAGTAAAACGATAAAAGCGTAAACCTTTTTAGGGGTAAGCTAAATACTCTAAGTTCTCTATTTGATATTAATTTTACAACTTTTTGAGATGATAAAACTATTTGTTATTAAAGTGTCCTAATATATAAAACAAGTTTTTTTTTTTAATTTTAAAAACGTCTTTTGACATAATCCATTTAGTGTGAAAGGATTTCAAAAAATAGGGGTCGTATTTTAAGTGACAACGAGACAGGAATTGCAATAGTCATGAAAATTCTAAGGGATAATGCCGATTACGCGGATTGATGAGGAATGTCCCATATACAGTAAAATTAAGGTTTAGTTTAGCCCTAACTTTTAGACCTTATATTCAACATGTGTAACTCAAAAAAAAATATTATAAAACCATTAGTTTTTACCCGCCCAAGAAGAAAGGCCTAAGGTAATATACTTATTGATAAGAACTCAATACTTAAAATATTTGCTGCTTGAGGCTAATAAACTACGATGGGCGGGAAGTCGTTCTCCGTCCACAACCAAAAAAACATCTGAAAAGCTGAAATAAGTGTTAAAATTATTTAAAAATACACATGCCATTATAAAAAGTAATAATACATTTTGTATAATTTCTATTTAAGATAGTTAATTAAAAAAATTATCTTCCATTTATTATTTCATTCACAATGGAATTCAAAATTGAAAATAGTAGGAGTAATGCATAATTTAGATACAGAACAGAAAGGGGGGAATAGGTGATCCTATTTATTTTGAAGGGTTATTTTTTTTTTTTTTTTTGGTATTGGTCCAAAAATGTGTGTTTCAAAAAAAAAACGATACCGACAAAACAAATACCACTAATATCGAGTATCGGTTCTAGCATCGGCCCACCAGGAATTACAATGTTAACTAATTGCTGGGTAGAATGAGTTTTAAGCTATGGTATAAATAATAAAATGTTAATGGGTAAAATTTTAATACCGCATACCTGTCGCTTAGATAGAGGTTGCTTATGTCATTGGCCGAGAATTGAGTGATGTCGATTTGCTCAGGAACAGAACACACTAAATAAAATCAATAAACCAGCTGCATTTTTGGACGAGTTTGTATGACTCATTCGGGTAGCAACTACCTGATTTTATAAATTTTGAAACTTTTTTTTATTTAAAATTTTAAATAATTTAACTATGGTTGTTTTACCGTGCGTAACACAATGTTTTCATAGCTGTAAAAACTGTAAACTGCGGCAGGGTAAGTTTATTTTTTTTTATTTTTACTTGAATAGTTGAAGATTGTTGATTTAATTTTGAAAACATTTTAGTTAGTATTATTTCATTGATTATCATTTCTTTTGGTTTCATAGCACAATAACACAGATATAAAACGTACAAAAGATGCTGGACTCTTTAGAAATATATGCAATCGCTAAACGGAATATTTTATTATATACATGGTTTCAGCCATAATTAGTTGGATGGTTAAGCAAAAAAAGGACAAAAACGATTCTATTAAAAAGAAACTTCAAAAATAATTTTATAGATGAGAGGAAACTTTAAATAATCTGCCAATGACGTTGTATAAAAATAATAAAATTGGTTGCAAAGCTTAAAAATAAACAAACAAGTCTAAAGATATTGGGAGCCGATTTAAATTTGTATTTATATTTTAATATTGCACCATATTTTTCTATATTACAAAGAAGGTATTAAAGAACAATTGAGTTCACATATGGTGCACCGTTTTTTGTACCATGCTACATAACCATGTTATTGTTTAAAATAAACCCAGATTTGTGTCTGACGTTGGTCTTCTTGATTATACCAATTATTTGATTTAACTAATAGATTTTTTATTTTGAATCGCACGTTGTAGATTAATATTGTATTATTATTAGAGCTAAACGAAACTAGCCCGATATTTAATATATTTTTTATCTGTTTACAAACAAAAATGTGTGAGCAAAATTCTGCGTAGATAAAAAAGAATTATACTTGTTTTTATAAAAGTAGTCAATCTATTATTACATTTGAGCTAAAAAAAAAACCTACTTCAGCGATAAGTTTCATAATTATGTACATAACTTAACGCTTATAGGTTTCTGCAATTAAATGATAACGAAAAAAATTATTTATTTAGTATTAAAATATATTTTTTACCTGGAGTTGACCATAAAATAATAAATACTAAAAAAAAAATCAGCATAATGGTATACTACTTGTTAGTATGATATCAAATGTTGAACACTTTAAGAAACACTAAAAAGATAACCTTGTCAATAGATATTGAACACCAATCTAAACATGTAGTTTTATTACAATAACGAACGATATTTTTCTAAACTTAATGGAATATGTTTTAAAAGTACAATTGGTTAACAGAGTATTCGTTTTTGTGTGTAGGCGCATAAACATGGTGTTTTTGTATATTGTTAAACATTAAAAACAGATTTTAATCTGACGTCAGTCGTTTTGATTATACACATGGTTCGTTTTTACAAATATTTTTTTTTATATTTTGAATTGTATACTGCAGATAAATGTGTAGATGTAGTCTTCTATAATAGTGATATATTAAATTATTTTAATATATGTTTTATGTTATTTTATAGTTACCTATTTAATAGTATTAACGAAAACGTATTCTGGAAGAAGATATTAGCAGCTAGTATATTATAATAATCAGACGCTTATTAAATTGATTATACAACAAACTTTTTGAATTGAATTTGAACCTATATAATATATATTCTTTTCAATCCACTGCGCGGAGTACTACCTATATTACAAAACAACTGTATAAATTCAGTGGATGATATTTAATAATTTACAATAATAACATGTTGTCCTCGATTATAAGTAGTCTAGCATTTAGGGTTTTGTCCTAAATAATCCCTAAATCCCCAAATAATGTTACTACATCTATAGACGTTTCCTGATCATGTACCTATTACTTCTCTTGGAATACATATATATTCTCTAGTACAATTTGATTAAATTGTCTGCTATGCAAAATGATGATGCTGAATATGTTGTATATGTATTTCAGCGAAACAACATAGCAATTTAAATATTTTGTAAACATTATTTTCATTATTATAAAAAAACTGTAACGCAAGTAATAATTTTTAAATGATACAGTTCCTATCAACCGTAAATAATAAGATTGAAATTATTTCAGAAAAAACCACCAAATCGATTATTTCTATAGGTATTTGGTGTTATAGCAATACAACACAACATAAATGCACAAATGTTGGTAATTATTGTTTGTTTTTATACTATTTTTAAAAAATATAAGTATTTAGTATAATATGTTATATTTAATACTAACATGTAATGCTCGTAAGACCATGTACGGTATCTTAAAATTGCATTGTGTTGTACTGCAAAAACCTAAATACTTGTATTTTTCGATATCATTCGACAACGCTTGATCATACAAATTTCAATTTTTTTCGATATTATATATATATTTTTTTAATTACATCACAACTTGATTTATGATCATTGTGTTTTTAATTTAAAATTGTAATAGACAATAAAGCATATTTTTTGAAGCTTTGCAACGATATTTTATATATTCTAAACCTTTTTCGTTATACACATTTTAATATCGTTTAACGTTTAGTTTAGAAGAGCTGAATATCTTTCATTCCCGACTTCTCGGTGCCATATTGCTTATAAATTTATTTTTTTTAAGATTTTAGGTGTTTTTGTTAAAATATACGCAGTTGGCGAAAACACAGTTTTCCGGCAATTAAAAAATTACTGTAGTGCCGAATTGGTTTTCCGTTTAATATGTTATGAATACATATGAGTTCCAACTATTGACAATTTTTCAACTTAAAGGTCCTAAAGTTACGGCTAAAAACAAAAAAACTTGAACCCCCTCTGGGGGTGGGAAATGGGTTTAATTTAAATTTGATACAACTACCGTGTGCGGGCATACCAAATAAATAATCCTTATAAATTTCAACTAGATCCTACACTCTTTTTCTTGAAATTATAGCCAGTAAAAGTTTTAACTTAAGAACTCGTACGGTTTTTTTTTTGGTTTTTTTTAAATTTCGACTGTGAAGAAGTAAATTTTTACAACTTTCACTCCTCCAAAGTACCAACTAGATGAAATTTGTGATTTATAGAGATGCTACTCGAATTAATTGGTTCAGTATTAAAAAAGTTAAATACAGATAAAAAAAAGCCCACATCAGATTAAAGCCAATATCTTCGCCTCTCTGCATCGAAGCTAAAACTATTTAACTAGAGACCCAAATTTGGGTTGCCAATAGTAATGTATTAGATTTTTTTTTGTGCTTTAAATTTCGTTAAGTGAAATGCGCTATCATAAACGAAAAAAGGTGTTAACATTAACAGTAAAAACTATTTTTATTTGCGTTTCATTTACTATAAATTCGTATCGACGTGATATAACATGTACAAATTCTTTTAAATGGTCTGTGTGCCCTGATTGTTCGTACTTACTATTATATGCGTAAGTATATAAAAGACCTTAAAGTATTTTATGTAAAAACACAATTGTTTGCTATTGGTTTTAGTGTTTTACTTTTTGCATTAGTATCGATATACATAACATGAGCACATACAAAATACTATTCTACATCAATACACAAGCACATAAACCCTTTATGAATTTAGCACACAACTATGTGTTGAACAATAATTTGTTATCCACATTCTTTTGAATTTAAAATATGAGGGAATATTTTTCGCGCCCTTAACTGTCCTTATATAGATCGTATTTAATACCAATGAAGTTGGCCTGCCTGGATATTTTTTACACAACTTTCACTATAAAAACAATTTAATCTACTCGATTTTATTTAGTCAATCTACCTCAGAACTCCATTTAGGTCATGCTACCTCTAACATTAACACTTTAAATAGTTATTATTAAGATGAGCTAGGACTTGTATTTATGAGAATTATAAACAATAAACCGGGTTTCCGCATTTGCATAGACAAGAAATGAACAAAATAAGAGGAGGATTCAGAAGTAGAAAAAATATTTGGAATAGACTAGATAAAAAAATACATTTTTATTTGTTCGGTACCTATTGATTTTATTGGTAGGCATGTACTATGAATGACGTGAATATTTCGGACACAGTACTAGGTATATAATTAATGACATAATGATGTACTTGATAACAAAATAAGTTCTGTGGAATATGATATTAGAAGAATCCAAACATCAAAAATCTAAACTATGCAATAAAAATGTTGCTAAATTATTTTCTTTATCATATTATATATACTGTTCTCTATAGTCTGTACGTTACACAATGCTATTTTTTACTTATTATAATAAAAAGGTACACATAACTAAGCTTTGTTTTTTTAATTAAAATATTAATTATAAAACCATCATTCATGTTCAACCAAGTTGATCCAGGTTGTAACATGACTGACGACGAGGATGGGATCGGATAAAAATTTCAGATCTCAAAAATTATAGTACGCAAACCACCCGCCACCTATCCAACCAAAAGTTGGGAGAAGGGTAAAAACAAAAAAAAACAGTACAGTGGGGTCGGGGCATAGTGGTGACGGGGAGGTCACAGGTTTACAGGAATTTTTAAATCTGAAAGTAATAAAATCACTTTTGAAAAAACGCTTTGATGCTCATTTGTAAATACAGAACCTTCATTTAAAACTTTCTAACTTTGCTGGTTTATACTGTGCTTGGTTTGGACTGTACTGGCTTGAAAATACTAACTACCGATTTGCATCGAAGCGTTTTTTCGAAAGTGATTTTATTACTTTCAGATTTAAAAATTCCTGTAAACCTGTGAAAATAACACATATACAATGTCTTGTTATATTTTGTTGGAATGGTCGACGATTCATGTTTTCATCTTCTGTACTCCATAGTTTAAATTATAATCGCTTATTCTCAATAAAACTAATAATAATGTATTATATACTTCCATTAGAGCAATCTCACACAAACTATTTATACTTTATAGATTGTATTATTTCAAAGCTATATTAAACTTCTATTTTACTAAATTGACAATGTACAAAATAAAATTCAACTAAAAAAAACCTTTTCATAGATCCTTAAAATGTAAAGGGTGGGATAGTGAAACGGGTTTTCCCATTTAAATACATTAGAAAATCGCCGTTTTACTGCCTCATCCTGTATATTAATTTCTTGTTATTTTCTAAAGAAAAAACGATTTTCTTACATTTATATTAAAATAAATCGTATACTGGTACTGTGACGGAGAAAATATAAATTTTACCTACATATATTACTTATTAGTTAAATATTACTAACGTGTATAGCCACTAGCGGTCGGCTGTTGCCTGTTATTTTACAATAACCTTTTATGGAGATTTTAAAAATTGTGTTTTTTTAATAATAGCATAGGAGCAGTATCATGATGTTAAATGTTCACGAGATTTGATCTAGTCATAAAATAAAGTATTATCATTTATGACTTATTATTAAAATTTATCTTAATTTGTACATAATAATAAAATAATAAAATATTTTATACAAAATTAGAGCTACAAGTTGATAAACTAAAAAATTAAAATAAACACGAAGCAGATTATCTAATATTAGACAATTTAAACAATCAAGCGTGAATCTCTTTAAATTAATAACAGTATAACAATATGCAAAACATTAGTGATCCTTTAAAAAAACTGTGTAATAAAAAATACATTTTGCGGCGGTATACTGCATAAAAACCAACACTTAATCTGAATCCAAAAAACAACAGTCCTCTTCATAATTTGCAGGCAGTTGGACCTTATATACTCATAGTTGACCTTCGGTAAGGTTATATTACTTAGGCTATAAAATAACTAGATAACGACAGTGGTTTTGTCGTATCAGAATCATTAAGTGTCTTAATAAGTACACGGATAGGTTTTTTTCCCAATAAACACAATATTATGATACCGATCATTGGGCCCTAACGTAATCTAACACGGATAGACGTTACCAACTGATAGTTTTTAGTGTCTGTTCGTTTCTCCCATCTGGTACACCGGGTTTTTAGTTTAAAAAAATTGAATTTGTGTAAACTTAAAGTCAAAAGTGGTACTTGAGCACAAAACTTAATAGTATCATTCTGCATAGATATACTTAAAAGTGTTTTAATGATTTGATCAATTTTTTTTAAAGATTTTAGGTGTTTTTGTTAAAATATACGAAATCTGCGAAAACACAGTTTCCCGGCAATTAAAAAAAAACTGTAGTGCCGATGAGTTCCAACTACTGGCAAATTTTTAACCCAAAAGTTTTACCCCCCCCAGCCCCCCCAAAGTACAAACTAGATAAAATTTGTGATTTATAGAGTTGCTACTCGAAGGATTTGGTCCAGTATTAAACAAGTTACAGTGTATACAGCGAAAAAAAAAGCCCACATCAGAGTAAAACCAATACCTTCTCGCTTTGCATCGAAACTCAAACATTGTGAAAAATTGAGATCACATTGTGTAAAAAAATATGAAAAAAGAACATTTTAATTTATAATTAAACCCTATGAGATATTGAGTGGTCATGATAAAAAAATCTCCCTGCATAATTAAAATATTTGTAAAAACGAATTGTGTTTATGATCGACTGACGTTAGCTATACGTCTGTGTTTGATTTAAGACAATATACGACAATAACATGCGCCTATATACGCCCCGTAAAAACAACGATTATTTGAAAATTTAACCCATGAAGTTTAGGAAAAGATTATACGCTATTGTAACACATCTACATACATAGTTTGGTGTTCATTATCAATTGACGTGGTTTTCTTTGTACTATTTTTTAAAGTGTTCAACGTTTGATAATATATTAACACGTATTATAACACTATGCTGATTTATATTTTAGCATTAATTATTTTATGTTCAGTTCCAGGTAATTAATATATTTTACTAAAATATAAAAACTATTTATTATTTACGCAAAATTGACCACACAAAGTTTTATAGTTAGTAAAGAAATAAAGTAATAAAATATATTAAAAAAATACTCTTTGCTTTTGGGAACATTTTTAATAAAATTATTTTACACTATTAAGAAAATACTTCAATTTGTATCTAATTTTAGGTGAAATTCAGAGTTTTATGGACTTTTGAAACGAATTTTTTTTTATCATTGTTCTTTTATCATGAACCCGTCCAACTATAAATTTAGTATGTCATTGTAATATGAACCATAACTTTAGTTGGACCAACTATAAATATTTTTCTGTATCATCATATCATAAAGCATATTTACTTTGGGATAGAACTCGGGAGGGTGAAAAATAATAGATTCATTATTATTTTATTAAATCTTAATATATTTGAAATTAAAATAAACTATTCGATCGTACCTTGGCTTTAGTGGTTCTCCCCAAAGGGGTCCCCTATGACCACGGACCGACTAGTAGCGCTAGGCGCTAATTGCGGGCCAGGGAAGGTGTGTCACAAGAGAAGTGGATTAAATGAAGGCCACTTTATGTTCGGCTCGACATCGCAATAGTCGCCTTTTACAAGCGCGAGAACCTTGAAAGTATTCTTTCTCCCCTATCCACAGGGACAGCATTGAATATACTATGCAGATGGGGTTTTAAAACGAATAACACTTTTTTTATTGTATTTGTTACATGTTCTGTTCCAGGATATTCTTCTTCTGGTTATGAGCCGCCATCTACGCCTCCCTCAGACCACAGTCATGAACAAATCGACCACTCACTCATCTTGGCCAAAGACATAAGCAACCTCTATCTAAGTGAAAGGTATGCGGTACTGAAACTGTATTAAGGTTATTATTTTCAAAATGTTGCAAGTTTAGCTTGTATATAGCTTTTTAATACCATTTCCCAAAATGTATTCTACTCTTTTAACACTATGTAGTATGATGGTAAAAAATAAGCTATGTGTCCCGTTTTGCCAACTTTAGTATCCCGATGTTTTCATTATGAACTTTTAATGCAAAAAAATAAGGTTCACCTTATCCCAATTGCTATTCTTTTTTCCTTTCTAACGTAAATTACTCATTGCATATATTATTTTCCATTTTGAACTAATACCCAGATAAGATTCAAACATATTAATTGTAAGACAAGTATTTTAGCCAACTACCTTAATCAGAAACTATACAAAATGTATGATACTTTTATTTTTTATATGTATTGTAAACTTATTTTAATACTTATTTCAGTTATAAAGATGTTGATTTGGACATAGAAGGAGAACGAGTGCCCGCCCATCGCATTTTATTAGTCTCAAGAAGCGAAAATTTTGGGTTTTAGTTCTTATCATTAAGTATACCTCATTTGGCCTTTCTTCTTGACCGGCTGAAAACTATTTGTTTTATTATTATTATTTTGTTCATGTAGCTGTATCAAATCTAATAGCTAGATATAAAGTAAAGCTTTATATTTAACCTGTACATAAAGCATTCCACAACAAATCGGGTTATCGGCTTCACCCCGTTAAATCGTCATGTCCAATAGCCTTTCTGATTTTTTGTGACATTAAATGAGACCCTTTATTTTAAATACTTCCACTTATTATCAACAATGCTGCCGTCCTAAATATTTTGAAAGCAGATTGAATATGCGGATAGCCGTATTTAATATTAAAAAAATAACTTGTATTACATAATTTGAAACTCAAGACGTATGGTATAATCATCACAAAAATAGTGTAATCTATATTAAATAAAGTACAATTATCTCGCTTAACTCTGAAAAGTACCCCTTATCGTTTTATTCCATAATTTAAAGTTCGTAGTAATATTGTGTATTATTTTTAAAGACTAAAACAAGAAGTCACTGTCTAAAGTGTCTACCTAACCGATTTCATTTTTTATTGGTTATAACATATAAAGCTTCTCTCTGGGGCTGAAAAGCCTATTTTTTATTTTTGTTTTCAAAATTATATTTTAAGCGTTTATATATTAATTTTTTTGTGGAATTTGCTAATAAATCTAACTTATATCGTGATTCTTTAATCAAACATCGGTATTTTAGCCCCATAAAGAAAATCGTAAGAAACTATCCTGAAACTTCTATGAAACTCGGAGAAAAAAAATTCGGCATATGTAAAATGTTTGTAAGATCAATTTTTGTAAAATATTGCCAATATTTTGCCCCTTTATAAATAGCGCTTTCCGTTCTAATTTAACTGCAAAAATACATTTTATTAGGGTTGTGTGATCGTTATTCAGATTTGTAAAATTGAATTATATGTTTAATCGGAAACAAATTAATATTAGTTTAGATTAACAGAATAGCGAATTTACATTTTGTATTCTTTATTTTTTTAGGATACAGCGGTTTTTAAATTAGGTAGGATTTCGGAATATTTTGGTTTTTTTGACTTAAAACATTCACTACAAGAGTACAGTAACGAACAAATCGATCACGTTCACCTCTTAGTCAGCGACATAAGCAACCTCTATTTGAGCAAAAGGTATGTGGTATTGAAATTGTACCTATTAAGTTTATAATTTTTAAAATTTAGCAAGTTTAGCTTGTATACAATTTTTTAATACTATTGCTCAAAATGTATTCTACTCTTTTAACATTATGTAATGTGATAATACAAAATAAGCCTAATATGTGTCCTGTTAGGCGGAGAAGAATTTCACGCCCACCGTTTTTTATTAGCCTCACGCAGCTATTATTTTGGGTATTTAATTCTTATAATTAAGTATATTTCCTTTGACCTTTCTTCTAGGGCCGATGAAAATTATTGGTTTTATTGCTTTTTTTGTAGTTGTAGTTTTGAACATCAAATATAATATTAGAATAATAGGTAGATATAACCCAAATTTGTATTTACCTGTAAATGGAGCATTCCAAGTCAACTTGTTAGTTACTTCCAAGTAACTTCCTGGCTCGTTCCGACCTTACATGAAACCATTTTTTTTTTTATATATCCAGTTGTTTTTAACGATTATTGGATATATTAAAAATTTAAAAAAAATTGTATTACATATTTGGACACTCAAAACTTATGGTATCATCATCCCAAAAATGGTGTAATTAATATCAAATAGAGTACAATTATCTCGCTTACCAATGAAAAGATTATAGTTTTTATCGTTATTTTTCAATATTTAATGGTTTGTAGTAATATTATGTATTATTTTCAGGGTCTTATTATTTGGAGGTCATAGAGAAACCTATGACAAAAAAGTGCCAATAAATGACGTACCAGTTAACTTATTTAAGATACTTCTTAAATATATTTATACTGGTCTAGTCGTTTTAAGTGATCTTGAGGTAACGAATAATCGAAGCAGCTAAGTAGTTATTAAGGGGATCGGGAAGTGTTAAATTTAATACAAATAAAGACTAAAACAAGAAGTTACTGTCTAACATGTTTATTTAACCGATTTGATTTTTTATTTTTGTTTTCATAATGTATATTATTAACTAGTTTTCTGATAGCTTAATTAAAAATCGGCTTTTAGATCCATTTAGAAAATAGAAAGATTCACATGAATAAAATTGAATTCGGTCCAATACATAAGCCGGCAAATGACTTCTACAAAAATCATTTTTTATTAAACTTTCGTCATTACTAGGTGAAAAAAAAATTTTAAAGTTTTTTAACTATAAACACTTTATATTTTTTTCATTTAAACTTTTTGAAGTACTTGAAATTGTTACTAGATAAATTTTTGTCAAATTCTGCCAAATCTTTTGCCGCTTAATAAATAGTGATTTCCGTTCTCTTTAAACAGCATAAAAATGTTGTGAGATCGTTTGGCCGATAGTATATGTTGAATTTGTTAAATTAATTTATGTGTTTAATCATAAACCGGTAATGAAGAATCATTAATCACATTTGTTATTATTTAATTTGTTTAGGATGTAGAGATTTTTGGATTAGTTAGAATTTCGGATTTATTTGGCTTTTTAGACTTAACAAATTCACTACACGATTATTTGCAAAGAACTATTACATTAGAAAATGTATGTACTTTCTTTGTTATAACACAAAGTTATCAATACAAGAAGCTCATTGACGCATCACTAGACTTTATCGACAACAATGCTTTGCGTGTATTGGAATCACGTAGTTTTCTGTCTTTGCCACCTGTAATTAATTTTTTTTTTACATAAAAAATAATAATGGTCACGTGATGTAAAAAAATGAGAAACTATTGTTATTTTTAGGAAGCTCTTCAAGAAATTATCATTCGCGACTCCTTTTATACTAACGAATTTGAGATATTCTATACGGTTTGTCGCTGGATCCATCAGAAACACGACGATCTGGATCATTATTCTAAAGTCAAAGTTTTATCCGCCGTCAGATATTCGTTAATGAGTAATGACGAAATGTCTAAGGCTAGAAAATCAAAACTGGTGGGTTCGGATATAATTTCAGAAGCCATACAAAAGAGAAAAACGTCGTCACCGGAACATCAATTTCGAGGACAGCGAAGTATGCTTGTTGTACACATCCATTTGTATTTTGCAAATAAATTATGTTGGTTTCAATGATTTTATTTTTTAGAACCCAATGTGAATCTTTTTTATGAGTCCGAGACGTTTATACTAACCAATGGGAATCGTATTCCTTGGACTAGGCGTCGTACGGATTACTATGACATTGATCTTGATGGCGGTTATAATATGATAAGATTTGTCAATCCATCTCTTATAAATTATATTGAGATAAAGTTATGGTATGGATCTACGACGGAAGATCATAGGTATGTCTTTAACTTATACTTTTTTTTAATTGAAATAGGCATTATTTAATATTGTTCAATACATCGTTCATTTGATTTATGATTAATTTTAATTATGTATTACAACTTTTATTTGTTGAAAATTTATTGTAATTATAAGTAAAGCAAACAATGTTTGAAAAAGTATTGTCTATTCTCACTGTTTATTAAGCTTAAGTTGTTTATTTCTTGTATTTTTTATTCGACCACTTTTCCAAACTCTGTTCCTGATATTTAATTTTGTGTACTTTTTTACAAATCATTACCTTACACATTATTCAAATTTTTTGATACTTTAGAATTTACTCTTATTACATTGAAGTTTCAATGGATGGGTACAATTGGACACGTCTTATAGATTATTCAAATTATAATTGCCGATCGCTTCAACGATTATGGATTCAACCACGCATAGTTCAGTATATACACGTTGTTGGATCCAAAATTGATCCCAATGTGACTTTTAATATTTGTGATGTCAAGTACAATACAACAGAAATGGACATGGTGGAAATCAATAATGGATTAGTCTGTAAGACACCAATTTTTTGAATAAAAAAAAATGATAATATACACATAATAATATATGTTTGTCTAATTTATTAATTTCAATATAGTTCCTAAGATCAACTACAATGTCACTTCAAGTTATTTAAACAATGCCATTGTTATCAAAGGTGAACAAAGTTATACATACAATTCACTACTAGATGATTTTTACAATGATGACAATGATACCGACGAAAGGAAAGACCTATACACGTATCATCGGCTGGGAGAAGGTTTTATAGTGGTTCATCTTGCTCAACCCTATATACTTAGTTCAATAAGGTAATATTATAAATATTTTGTAATTGTTATAGCAATAAGCTTTCTTATGATAATTTGTTTTATAATTTCCGGTCGTTGGAATGAGATCTTTAATTCCTAAGCGTTCTATAAATAATTTCTCTTATAATGTTTTCTTAAAATGCAAGACTTCTGCAAGTCTCAATTCTTATTTCCTCCGCAGAGTCTACGTCTCCAACTCGTACAAAAGATGCTTTTTATTAGAATCACGCTTATTTAAATGTTACGTCTTTTCCATATTATCTTTGAACCAAATATATTTCTTAGAATTTATGAACACCCATTGTCCCAATTTGATTTATTGCATATAAATATATGTATTCTTGTTTTTATGAAATTTAAAATTGATCTGTTGTGCTTTCAACCAAATAGCAATGGCCACGTAAATAATGAAATTAAAAAAACTAACTAAAAACAAAAATTTAATGATTTTTATCTCCATAACATTTAGCATAATTTTTAGCTTAACATTTAGCTTAATTAATTAAAGAAAACGTGAATAAATTGCAATAAAGTGATATACTTTTTTATTGAGTTTGTTTTTTTTACGATCCGGTAAAATAAAAGTAAAATTAAGTTAGGAAGCAAGTAGTAAAACCAATTAGGAAGTAAAATCAGTGAAACACAAGTTAATTTTGGCTGAATTATTTGTTATTCATGAATTTTATTCATTATAAAACTAAGAAAATATTATTGTTGCCATAATTGACAGGTTGATGCTTTGGGGCGACTATAACCATTTCTAAAAGTACACTATTGAATCTTCTCTCAATAATCTGGTTTGGGAAACGATTGTAGATAAGTCTAATGAGTGGACACAATCTTGGCAGATGCTCCAATTTAATCCCAGACCAATGCTCTATATTCGTATTACTGGCGTTCAAAGTTCAGCAAGCAATGTAAGTGCAATGGATATAAGTTTTTTTAATTTTTTTTTAAAACACTTTATTTTGTAGGAATTTCGTTGTACTTATTTGGAGGCTCCCGCTCAAGTAACATAAGATTACAACGTCATTGAATTAACATCAGCTCAAACTCCAGATATTTAAACCAAACTCCAATTATTAGTTTTCAATGCACGCTTGCTATGAACTAAAGATATTATTATCGTTTAATTTTTTTCTTATATACATATTTGTTTTTTGTTTTGTTTAATTATTATAATGTAATTTTAACATTTTTGCATTGTGTAAAAGTATTGATAAATTTAACAATAAATGTAATAATTGAGGGACCTTTCAATATGCCAGCTGTTTTATTCTTATTTTCCTTACTAAGCTTTTTCAGATTTTTGGAATATCTGAATAATTTTTACTCGATGTTAAGTGGTATATCCACTTAACAATATTCATTATCTCTCCAAAAATGTTGGGCTATATTTGTCTACGATTATTAATTGGCAAATCTATCGCACCTGAGTGACGTGCTTGTTACCTTGATATGAAATTTATGTATTGCTAATCTTGAAAATATTATTATATCCTAACCTTCCGTGCATAATCAATAAAGTTGAAAAATAGAAACACCGATAACGTGTTTTGAACAAAAAATTATGGATTTTCTATGAATTGAAGAAATAGCCTTTTTTTGTTGTTGTTTTTTTTTCAAATAAACTCTAAGTTGGAGAGAACTGTTAGCACACTTCTTCCTCCTGGCAACAATGTTTATTTGCATCACAACATAAAACGAATTATTAAGTGTAAATCAAAAAAACAAGTTTTTCTCTTGACGAGGCGAGCTTAAAAACAACTACTAAGAACATTAATTATACATTTTAAAAAAATTAAACAAATATCTAAATAATAATCAAATTTTTAATGATTGGTTAATCATCACACAGGCAATAGTATAAAAGATAAAATACTTTTTTAAATTAATTTTTTATCTTTTGTACTTAATAGTTAGCCCAAATTTGCTAAATTGTTTTGTCAATCATACACCATATTTTGTGTGTAAAAATCCTATGAAATAAAACTTTTTAAATGGTAACGACTACATTTTCTTAACTTTTTAAATTATATAATCTTTTCTGGAAATTTTTAATAGGTAATACCAATAAACAATAGTTACGAATAATTATTTTTAATGTTAATATTTTTATTATTAATTCTTAACAATAATGTTAATAACGGGAGGAAAGACAGAGTGTGGCATTATTTTCATTTACGTGAATAAATCAACTCCTTTCTTAAGTTTCAAATTTCAGATCAACTTAACTAATTATTTTTTCTATTTTTGAGTCTGGTCCTACGCTATTTCCTACTGAACCGCAGCCAATTGAAACATGCAGCTGGTTTCCCAATTTTAATCCAACAAGACATATTAGCATTTTTTAAATGTGCTATAATTTGCTAGTATGAAGTTTTAACGAGTAGAACGGTTATTTTTTAACGTGTACGGAACTCTTTTTACCGGATGCCAAATTTGCGTTGCAAATTGTAATGTATAGGTTTTACTTTGTACACTGAATTTCGTTATGTGAAATACGCTATAATAAACAACAAAATATGTGTAAGAAACACGCTGTAAGTAATAATTCTTTTTACCGTAAATTCGTATCGATGTACATAACATGAGCCCACACAAAATATTTTTCTAAATAAATACGCAAAAACATGACAATTTTGTGAATTTGGAATTTAGCACACAATTATGTGTTGAACAATAATTTGTTATCCACATTCTTTTGAATTTAAAATATATAGGAATTATTTTTTGCACCCTTAACTGTCCTTATGTAAATCGTATTTAAGCTAATCCAATACCAAAGTGTTTGGCCAGCCAGGAATTTTTTTCCACAACTCTCGTTGTATAAACAATTTTTTATATTACACTAATTTATTTAGTCACTCAAAATTAGTACTCCATTTAGGTATTGTTGCCCCTAACATTTACACTTAAAATAGTTATTATTAAGATGAGCTAGGATTTGTATTTATGAGAATTATAAACAATAAACCGGGTTCCCGTATTTGCATAGACATTGAAGAAAGGTACAAAATAAGGGGAGGATTCAAAAGTAGAAATAAATAGTTGGAATAGACCAGATACAAAATACATTTTAATTTGTTCAGTATCTATTGATTTTGTTGGTAGACATGTACTATGAATGACGTAAATATTTCGGACACAGTACTAGACATATAATCAATGATATAATGATGTACTTGATAACAAAAGAAGTTTTGTGGAATATGATATTGGAAGAATCCAAACATTATATAACTCACAGATCTAAATTTTGCAATAAAAATATTGCTCAATTGTTTTCGTTTTCATAAAAATGTATTTTATTTTTATCCATCTGTTTATAATATTGGTCTTAGAGTACCTACAAATTTTTCAACAGGTCGCGATTAATATAACTATTATATTTTTATATTGATTTAAAAAAATTTATAATATTATATGGTTTTTTTCATTGGTATTATTTTCCTAAATAAATGTATATTTACTTTCTTTCATGGAAATGTCGTGAAAACACGTTTTAAGTTGTGTTATTTATTGAAATAAAAGGAAAACCTATTTTGAGATGATGTTTTGTGTTATCACTTTTCTTTATCATATTATATGTACTGTTCTCTTATAGTCTGTACGTTACACAATATTATTTTTACTTATTATAATAAAAAGGGATATACATAACTAAGTTATGTTTATTTAATTTAAATATTAATTATAAAACCATCAATTATGTTAAACCAAGTAGAACTAGGTTATAACATAACTGACGACGAGGATGGAATCGGATAAAAAATTCTGATCTCAAAAGTTATAGTACGCAAACCACCCGCCACCTATCCAATCAAAAGTTGGGAGAAGGGTAAAAACAAAAAACATTGTGAAAAATTAAGATCACATTGTATAAAAATAATATGAAAAAAAGACATTTTAATTTCTAATTAAACCCTGTGAGATATTAAGTGGTCATGATAAAAAAATCTTCCTGTATAAATAAAGTATTTGTAAAAACGAATTGTGTTTATGATCGACTGACGTCAGCTATTCATCTGTGTTTGATTTAAGACAATATACGACAATAACATGCGCCTATATACGCCCCGTAAAAACAACTATTCTTTGAAAATTTAACCCATGAAGTTTAGGAAAAGATTATACACTATTGAAACACATCTACATTTATAGTTTGGTGTTCAATATCAATTAACGTGGTTTTCTTTATATCATTTTTTAAAGTGTTCAACATTTGGTATTTTATTAACACGTATTGTAACACTATGCTGATTAATATTTTAGCATTTATTATTTTATGTTCAGTTCCAGGTAATTAATATATTTTATTAGAACATAAAAACTATTTATTATTTACTCAACATTGACCACAAAAAGTTTTATAGATATGTTTAAAATTGTATTTAATATATACAGAGTGATTTACTTTGAAATAGAACTCAGAAGGATAAAAAAAAATATATTCATTATTATTTTATTAAATCTTAATGCATTTGAAATTAAATAGACTAAGTTTTGTATTTTAATTAAAAAAAATAAATGTTTTTATTGTATACGATACATGCTCTGTTCCAGGATATTTTTCTTTTGATTATTTGGATTCGTCACCTACGTTTCCCGATGACAACAGTCATGAACAAATCGACCACACACTTATCTTGGCCAAACACATAAGCAACCTCTATCTTAGTGAAAGGTATGCGGTACTGAAATTGTATTTATTAGGTTTATTATTTTCAAAATATAGCAAGTTAAGCTTGAATACAGTTTTTAAAAAAATAAGCTATGTGTCCCGTTTTGCCAATTTTGGTGCCCTGATGCTTTCATTATGAACTATTGATGCAAAATTTAGGTTCACCTTTTCCCAATTGCTGTACTTTTTTTCCTTTCTACCATACATTTTTCAATGAATATATTATTTTCTATTTTAAACTTATACCCAGATAAGATTCAAACATATTAATTGTAAGACAACTATTTTAGCCAACTACCTTAATCAGAAATTATACAAAATGTATGATACTTTTATTTATTATATGTATCGTAATCTTATATTAATATCTATTTCAGCTATAAAGATGTTGATTTGGACATAGACGGAGAAGAAGTGCCCGCCCATCGTATTTTACTAGCCTCAAGAAGCGAAAATTTTGGGTATTTAGTTCTTATCATTAAGTATACCTCATTTGGCCTTTCTTCTTGACCGACTGAAAACTATTTATTTTATTATTATTATTTTGTTCATGTAGCTGTATCAAATCTAATAGTTAGGTATACTAAAGCTTTATATTTACCTTGTACATGTAGCCTTCCACAACAAATCGGGTTATCGGCTTCAACCCGTTAAATTGTACCTTGGCTTAAGTGGATCGCCCCTAAGGGGTCCCCTACGACCACGGACCGACTAGTAGCGCTAGGCGCTAATTGCGGGCCGGCGAAGGTGTGTCACAAGAGAAGTGGATCGGCTGAAGGCCACTTATCGTTCGGCTCGACGTCGCAATAGCCGCCTTTTCCGACAGGCCCGAGAACCTTGAAAGTATTCTTTCTCCCCTATCCACAGGGATAACCCCGTTAAATTGTCATGTCCAATAGACTTTCTGATTTGTTGTGCCATTAAATGAAACCCTTTATTTTAAATACTTCCATTTATTATTAACGATACTGTCGTCCTAAATATTTTGAAAGTAGATTGAATATGCGGATAGCCGTATTTAATATTAAAAAAAAAACTTATATTACATAATTTGAACTTCAAGACATATGGTATCATCATCACAAAAATGGTATAATTAAAATAAAGTAGGCTACAATTACCTCGCTTACCTCTGAAAAGTACACCTTATCGTTTTATTCCATAATTTAAAGTTCGTAGTAATATTGTGTATTAATTCTAGGGCCTTATTGTATGGAGAAGATGGAAAACCCTATACAAATAATGTGAAAATAAGTGAAACACCAGTTGCCTTATTTATGATACTTCTTAAATATACTTATACTGGTCAAGTCAATTTAAGTGATCTTGAGGTAACGAATAATCTCAGCAGCTAAGCGTTTAATTAGGGAATAGAGAAGTGTTAAATTTTATACAAAGACTAAAACAAGAAGTCACTGTCGAAAATGTCTACCTAACTAATTTCATTTTTTTATTTGTTGTAAAATATAAATACTTCTCTTTGTGGGCTGAAAAGCCTATTTTTTATTTTTGTTTTCAAAATTATTTTATAAGCGTTTATGTATTAATTTTTTTGTGGAATTTGCTAATAAATCTAACTTATATCGTGATTGTTTAATCAAACATCGGTATTTTAGCCCCATAAAGAAAATCGTAAGAAACTATCCTGAAACTTCTATGAAACTCGGAGAAAAAAAATTCGGCATATGTAAAATGTTTGCAAGATCAGGTTTTGTAAAATATTGCCAATATTTTGCCCCTTTATAAATAGCGCTTTCCGTTCTAATTTAACTGCAAAAATACATTTTATTAGGGTTGTGTGATCGTTATTCAGATTTGTAAAATTGAATTTTATGTTTAATCGGAAACAAATTAATATTAGTTTAGATTAACAGAATAGCGAATTTACATTTTGTATTCTTTATTTTTTTAGGATACAGCGGTTTTTAAATTAGGTAGGATTTCGGAATATTTTGGTTTTTTTGACTTAAAACATTCACTACAAGAGTACAGTAACGAACAAATCGATCACGTTCACCTCTTAGTCAGCGACATAAGCAACCTCTATTTGAGCAAAAGGTATGCGGTATTGAAATTGTACCTATTAAGTTTATAATTTTTAAATTTAAGCAAGTTTAGCTTGTATACAGTTTTGTTAATTCCATAGCCCAAAATGTGTTCCCTTTTAACATTATATTATGCTATTCCTGTAATAAAATTGTAAAAGTAACCTGTAAATGTGTTCCGTTTTACCAATTTTGGTGTAGCAATTCTGATTTGATTTAAATTAGGTAATTTTCCAAGTGGAAAATATAATACGCCTAGATGGTTTCGTTATGAACTATTAATGGTAATAAAGAAGCTATTATTGAATAATATAATTGACTGACCAGTTAAAACAAATAGGTTTACCTTTTTTTATTAATGTGCTTTATCTTCTATCTACCATAAAAAAAATATTATTCATTGCGTATATTATTTTCCTTTTTAAGTTAATAAGCAAAATAAGATTGAAACGTCATATTTGTTGTAAGACAATTTATTTAGCCAACTATCTTAATCTGAAATTATAAAAAATATATTGTTACTTTTATTTTTCTATGTCTATTGTAAACTTATTTTAATACTTATTTCAGCTATTCAGATGTTGTTTTGGTTGTAGGCGGAGAAGAATTTCACGCCCACCGTTTTTTATTAGCCTCACGCAGCTATTATTTTGGGTATTTAATTCTTATAATTAAGTATATTTCCTTTGACCTTTCTTCTAGGGCCGATGAAAATTATTGGTTTTATTCTTTTTTTTGTAGTTGTAGTTTTGAACATCAAATATAATATTAGAATAATAGGTAGCTATAACCCAAATTTGTATTTACCTGTAAATGGAGCATTCCAAGTCAACTTGTTAGTTACTTCCAAGTAACTTCCTGGCTCGTTCCGACCTTACATGAAACCATTTTTTTTTTATATATCCAGTTGTTTTTAACGATTATTGGATATATTAAAAATTAAAAAAAAATTGTATTACATATTTGGACACTCAAAACTTATGGTATCATCATCCCAAAAATGGTGTAATTAATATCAAATAGAGTACAATTATCTCGCTTACCAATGAAAAGATTTTAGTTTTTATCGTTATTTTTCAATATTTAATGGTTTGTAGTAATATTATGTATTATTTTCAGGGTCTTATTATTTGGAGGTCATAGAGAAACCTATGACAAAAAAGTGCCAATAAATGACGTACCAGTTAACTTATTTAAGAAACTTCTTAAATATATTTATACTGGTCTAGTCGTTTTAAGTGATCTTGAGGTAACGAATAATCGAAGCAGCTAAGTAGTTATTAAGGGGATCGGGAAGTGTTAAATTTAATACAAATTAAGACTAAAACAAGAAGTTACTGTCTAACATGTTTACCCAACCGATTTGATTCTTTATTTTCGTTTTCAAAATGTTTATTATTAACTAATTTTCTGATAGCTTAATTAAAACTCGGCCTTTAGTCCCATTTAAAAAATAAAAAGATTCACATAAATAAAATTGATTTCCGTCTAATACATAAGCCGGCAAATGACTTCTACAAAAATCATTTTTTATCAAACTTTCGTCATGACTAGGTAAAAAAAAAATTAAAAAGTTTATTAACTATAAAAACTTTATATTTTTTTACATTAAAACTCTTCGGCGTACTTGAAATTGTTACTGTTGAGTTTTAGCTTTACGCACTAACGGCCAATTAGCAGTTTTTGTTTTACCGCCTGTGGTCAAGCTATTGATAGGCTCTCTTACCTTTGTGCCGCTCACCGTGGTCTCTCGCCGTATAACCGCTGGCACTCGCTGTATAACTTGCTATACAACTCGCCGTACCACCGCTGTTCGTCACTGATACTGTACACGCGTATAGTGTACTTTAAGTTCAATTTTGGAACTTTGCGCCACCATACGCTTCTTAAAAGTCAATAAAAACTCATGTTATTTTACGCTCTGCCAAATTAGTATCACTATTTTCGCGGTGTTCATACACCTCCTGGGTCACCCACGTTGACCTCCAGTCGCTTTCGTACCGAGACTACCGCCTTCATCGTCCCTGCTTCAGTCAATATCTCCATCGCATGTCCCAGGTCTCTTTCTGTGAGTCAACATTTGTATAATTGTACAACCTTTAGATTAAGTAATATTGTAGTTTCGTGCTACACGATTATATTTTAGTTTTTTAAATTATTAACATTAGCTTTTAAGGATTTTTTTCTGTGGTTTACTTTGCTTAAAATATAACTTTTGTTGATATTATTGGAGTTACATTGTTAATTTATTCCATCTTTACCTATAATTCACCAGTCCAAAAAGGATTCCCGTCCAACTTTAATTTTAGGTTCTAAACTGTCCTTGTAATTTAAATCAAGAGGTTAAAACCGCAACAGTTACTAGATAAATTTTTGTCAAACACTGCCTACCTTTTGCCCCTTAATAAATTTTGAGTTCCGTTCTCCTTAAACAGCATAAAATTAATGTGTGATTGTTTGGCCGATGGTATATGTTGGATTTTTTAAACTAAATTACGTATTTAATCGAAAACATGCAATAAAGAATGAGTAATCACATTTATTATTATTTTTTTTTTTTTAGGGTTTAGATGTTTTAGAATTCTATAGGATTTCGGATTTATTTGGGTTTTTAGACTTAACAAATTCACTAAACGATTATTTGCAAACAACATTTGAAGCAGAAAACGTATGTTCTTTCTTTGTTATAACACGAAGTTTTCAATACAAGAAGCTCATTGACGCATCACTAGACTTTATCGACAACAATGCTGAGGATGTATTGACGGCTGATGGTTTTCTGTCTTTGCCACTTGTAATTACATTTTTTTTAATTCAAAAATAATAATGCTAGCGTGAGGTGAGATATTGAGAAACCATTGTTATTTTTAGGAAGCTCTTCAAGAAATTATCATTCGTGACTCCTTTTATACTAATGAATTTGAGATATTTCATGCGGTTTGTCGCTGGATCCATCAGAAACACGACGATCTGGATCATTATTCTAAAGTCAAAGTTTTATCCGCCGTCAGATATTCGTTAATGAGTGCTGACGAAATGTCTAAAGCTATGAAATCAAAACTGGTGGGTTCGGATATAATTTCAGAAGCCATACAAAAGAGAAAAACGTCGTCACCGGAACATCAATTTCGAGGACAGCGAAGTATGCTTGTTGTACACATCCATTTGTATTTTGCAAATAAATTATGTTGGTTTCAATGATTTTATTTTTTAGAACCCAATGTGAGTCTTTATTTTGCGCCGCTAAAACTAACCAATGGGAATCTTATTCCTTGGGTTGAGCGGCTTCATGGGCATAACGATGACGAAGACCTTGACGGCGGTTATAATGTGATAAGGTTTGACAATCGAACTCTTATAAATTATATTGAGATAAAGTTATGGAATATATCTACAAGCGATGATCAAAGGTATGGTTTTAACATATAAATATTTTGAATTGTAATGAACATTATTTATTTTGTTCAAAACATTCGTTAATTTGTTTCATGATTGTTTTAATTATGTATAACAATTTTAACTTGTGGCACATGTATTTTAGTTATAAGTTAAGCAAACAAATTTATTAATGATTGAAAAAATAATGTCTATTCTCTTTGTTTATTAAGATTAAGTTGTTTATTTCTTGTACTTATTATTCGACCACTTTTTTCAAAATTCTGTTCCCAATATTTGAAGGGCACACGGGAAAAAGGGTAGTTGTCACATTATGAAAATTTTAGAGCATAGCAAAATCAAAGTTCGCGAATTCCTCTACTACTAACATAAGAACAAAAAAATCACACTAAATGCTACTCTAATAAAAAATGTATCTATTTAAACAATCTATTGACATAGATAAAAAAAATTATTGGCATAAATTGAAAAAACTATTTGAAAAAAAAATTGTCATAATGTGACTACTACCGTTTTTTCCCTGTGCCCTTCATTTTATTTTGTATTCTTTTTTACAAATCATTACACTATATTTTATTCGAACTATTTGATACTTTAGGTATTACTCATATGACATTGAAGTTTCAATGGATGGGTACAATTGGACACGTGTTATAAATCATTCAAATTATAATTGCCGATCGCTTCAACGATTATGGATTCAACCACGCATAGTTCAGTATATACACGTTGTTGGATCCAAAAGTGATCCCAATGTGACTTTTAAATTTTGTGGTGTCCAGTACAATACAAATGAAATGCACATGGTGGAAATCAATAATGGATTTGTCGGTAAGAAACTAATTTTTTTAATAAAAAAAAAAAATGATAATATACAAATAATAATATATATTTGCTTATTTTATTAATTTCAATCAAGTTCCTAAGATCAATTATAAAGTCACTTCAAGCTTTTTCAACAATGCCATTGTTGTCAAAGGTGAACATAGTTACACCGACTATTCACTACTAGATGATTTTTACAATGATGACAATGATACCGACGAAAGGAAAGACATATACACGTATCATCGGCTGGGAGATGGTTTTATAGTGGTTCATCTTGCACAACCCTATATACTTAGTTCAATAAGGTAATATTATAAATATTTTGTAATTGTTATAGCAATACGATTTCTAATGACAATTTATTTTATTGATTTTAAATGATTTTGATCTCCATAACAATTAGGATAATTTCAGTATCTTTCATAATAATATCATAAAAAGAATATTATTGTAATCAAAAATGATAAGCTTTAATCAATAAAATATTATAATATTAATAAATTGCAATAAAAAAGACATTTTTTTTCATTCTATTCGTTTTGTCAATTTTTTTATAATTTCCGGTCGTTGGAAGAGATCGTTTTATAAATAATGTCTTTTATGACTTTTTCTTGAAATGCAACACTTCTGCAAGTCACAATTCTTATTTCCTCCGCAGAGTCTACGTCTCTAACTCGTACAAAAGATGCTTTTTATTAGAATCACGCTTATTTAAATATTTTATGTTTTCCATAATCTCTTTAAACCAAATATATTTCCACCCATTGTCCCAATTTGATTTATTGCATATAAATATATATAATTTTGTTTTTATTAAATTTAAATTTGATCTGCTGTTCATGAAACCAAATAGCAATGGCCATGTAAAGGATAACATTAACAAAACTAAACAAAAACAAAATGATTTTAATTTCTATGACAAATAGGATAATTTCAGTATATTTCATAATAATAGTACCAGTAAGATATTACTGTAATCAACAATGATAAGCCTTAATCAATAAAATATTATAATATTAATTGATTGCAAAAAAAAATAAACTTTTGATACGGTAAAATAAAAGTAAAATAAAGTTATAAATCAAGTAGTAAAACAAATTAGAAAGTAAAATCAGTTGAACACAAGTTAATTTTGGCTGAATTATTTGTTAATTATGAATTTTATTCATTATTAAATTAAGATAATTTTTTATTGCCATAATTGACAGGTTGCTGCTCTGGGGCGACCATAACCAATTCTACAGTTACAGAATTGAATCTTCTCTCAATAATCTAGTATGGGATATGGTTATAGACAAATCTAAGGAATTAACACAATCTTGGCAATTGCTGAAATTTAATCCCAGACCAATGCTCTACATTCGTATTACTGGCACTCGCAGTTCACCCAGCAATGTCAAAGTAGGTAATGGATATAATTTTTTTTTTCAAATTTTATAACACTTTTATGTTGTAGGATTTTCGTTGTGTATATTTGGAGGGTCCTGCTCAAGTAACATAAGATTACAACGTCATTGAATAAACACCGGCTTAAATTCCAAATATTTAAACCAAATTCAAAATCTTAGTATATTTGTTTTCATTGCTTGCTTGTTATTAAGTAAAGATATTATTATCAAATGATTTTTTTCTGATGTACATATTTTTTTTTTGTTTTTTTCAACTCTATATTTGTTTTGTTTAATTAATATTAATTAATTTTTGCATTGTGTAGAATTATGGATAATTTGGGGGCATGGGAATTATTTTACTCAGCCCTGGCAGACTAAATCTCCGGCAACGCCGAGTCCGGGCAGCTTGTTATAAATAAAATTGATAAAATTTAATAAAATTACTTTCAAATAAACGCTTTGATGCTTCTATTTTGTAATTTTATTCCCGTCCTCACCATCTAAAGTGTGGTTTATAAGATGTATACTATTGTAAAGATTGTATTAATTATCCCTTTGATTAATGAAATGTAAAATAAAATGTATTAACACTGTTTATAGGTCGAAATTATGTCAGTATTATTTCTTTAGAAAATGTACATTAAATTTAATAATAGCTAACACATTCCTTTTTTCAGATTAAACAAAATAAAACTATTAAAGGTTTATTTTAAACTAGTAATTCTAGTTTAACAAACAAAAAATGTGTTTACTTTCGTGTGATTTGTAGACATATCATGATGTATTATTAATTTGACTGTAAACAAATAATTGCAATGTTTATTTAATCAAATTAATTAGATACAATGAGATGTTAAAAAATCAATTGGAATTTCATTATAACAAATATTTAATTCCATAAATTATTTGCAATTTCTTAACTCTAACAGATACAAATTACCCTAAATTTTAAATCATATTTAGGTAACTTATAAAATAATATTTTCCAATCGAATATTTTTAAACTTTATAATAAAATTTAAACAATTATGTTTCCATCGATCATGCCAGGGTTTTTCACAAATTGTTAAGTTTCTTTTTAAGTATTTATATTATTATTTAAATGAAGTGGCGCAAAAATAAAAAAATAGTGGCCGAATCTCCTTAGTTTTTTTACGTACTGAATAGTAAAAAAAAAATGTTTTAAATTGAAATGTAATATTATTCTAATGTGGTGTTCCAGGTATATTTAAAATGTTTTTTTGGCATTAAAAGTTTGTATCAATTTTTTTCTGGCTACACGCATAATAATAAACAAATTTTTAACTTTTAATTTAAATTGCTAAACCTATAATTATATACAAGTATTTGTTGACGATTGGCGTTCTCTGCTAATTGAATGTCAGTTGACCAGAATGAAACTAAATCAATAGCTGTAACAAACATAACAAACATAATCAAATAAAATCATAGCATCTATATAGAATTAATATAATATAAAAATACTTTACAAATAATAATAATCATTATATTTTACATTCTATGAATGCCATAAATGTAAAAATGTGTCGCTACAGCAGTTTCTATTAATTTATAAATATTGTAGACAATTTTAGAAATTGAATATTGGGGATTGAGCATAAAATTATATAAATAAATTTAATATTTACACAATTATATGATAAAGAATAATAATCGTTACCCGATCAGCAGTCGCTCTTTAACAACAGCCGAGGATCCTCATAATCAAAGCTTACAGTCATATAGACCATGTGTTGATAGTCGACCATACAACTTTTATTTGGTCAGTCTTACTGTTAACTGTACAAATTTGACTAAGAGGCCATTGACAGGATCATTTCTTCTTTGTCTAAACTTCCTCGGTCCACAATTAGCGCTACTGTTCGGTCCGGGGTCGTTGGTGATCCCTCCGGGTTGAACCACAAATCTGTTCCTAGTTAAAATGTTTGTACATTAAATTATGTAAATATTTTAAAACCTACTGTATTTAAAAAATGTATATTTATGTTGTAAAAATGATAATAATATTACTTATAGGGAATAAAATATAATAATAAAGTATAAAGTTTAATCCAAAAATCTATTATTTATTAGTTATTATTTTTCATAGAAAATTCAATATAATTTAACATTGGACTTATTAAAAGATCACTGCATAAAATTTTCAATGAAAAATCGATACAGAATAATTTTATGAATGTCAAATATTTCTTAAAAAGAAGTTGCGCACAGACAATACTTTTATAATCGTTTTGAAAAGTAAATTATATATTTTTTTTTTGTTTGTTGTGGAATGAATTATTATCACACATTTTGTTTTATCTATTTTAGCTGCTTAGTATAGAACGTATATACATTTTATAATAATTTATTTAGTTGTTTTTATGCTTAGATCTTTATTGTTGATAAATACATCATCGTTGGTTAAAGAGTACTTCTAAAACTGTTTGTTTTTAACATCGAAAAGTAATGATAAAGTTATTTACTTATATTACAATAAAATAAAAGATTCTTACATTTTATTATAAAATTTAAACCGTTATGTTTCCATTGATTATGCCAGGATTTTTTACAAATTATATTATTTGAAATATTTACATTATTTAAATAAGGTGGAGTCAAAAAAAAAATAGTGGGTGAAAATTATTTTAATGTGGGGTTCCAGGAAAAAAAATATTTATTTATGTTTATTTCGCACAATAAGTTTTTATGGCTTTTATTTCTAGCTTAGTAACATAATAAATTAAAAAAAATGTTCAATTTCAATATTTAATTGCTATACCTGTAATTATTTAAAACTTATTGTCGGCGATTAAGGTGGTCAGCAAATTGGATGTCGGCCTACCGGAATGAAACAATCAAATGAATAGCTGTAACAAATAAAAAAATATATAATCAAATAATATCTGAAATACTACACTTATACATTTTTTAAGTATTTGTACTTTGAATAAGTTTAATATAAATATCAATGCAAAAGTATTGATATTGAAATATGTCTATTCCTAGTTTCAATATTCTTGATCCTACTGTATTCATAAAATGTATGTCAAAGTTTTACTAATAATAATAATAGTACCTATATAGATTAAATATAATATAAAGCTAGTTTACAGGCATATGAAATAATAATAATCATTATCTTGTACATTCTATGTATAACAATTTGCCATCACGTTTGTTTCTATTTATTTCAAAATAATGTAGAACATTTTTATAAATTGTGCAATAAGCATTATATAATATAAATTAAATTGATACATACACAATTATTTGAACCATAATAATATCGGTTACAAGATCAACAGTCGTTCTTTCACCACAGCCGACGATCCATACAAGTAAAGCTTACAATAATATAGAGCATGTGTTGGTAGTTGACTATAAAATTCTTATTCAGTCGAATTTACTGTTAAATGTACAGATTAATATAGGCTTCTTCAGTGAAGATCGACCGGACTCGCAGTCATCACGACATTTCCTGTAATTTTCACGATGGTCCAACGAGATATTATCTAACTTCCAACAAACGAAACAGTAAATACCATAGTGTGTTATACTGATAGTCCATGAAACAGTACATACTTGGAGGGCTTTTTGCGTATGGAGAACGGTCCATCAAACTGTCCACACAGTGAATTACAGCGTTATCAGAGATGGTCGTCGCACACCGAAGTCCTCTTTTATCGAATGACATATCGTTTTATACAAAAAATCCACACGACTTATATTCTGACGGATGAAGCAAAAATCGAATTGGAATAGCTACAGGCAGACACAATTAATGTTAATTAATGTTAACGTTCTATTCGAATGACATTATCTGTTTAATGATAATATCACAGAATAACCAGACGGGAGACCTAGGCCGGGACCGATAAAGTGATAAATGTCCAATATTTTAATTTTCCAGATAACTTACAATTATTATGCTTTTTCTTTGAATCCTATTATAGTTTGGATTCCAGTCGCTAAGGCAATAATAGTATGCCTTTGTCAGCGGCTCATAAGAGCCCGTCTATTTGCTTAAAGTTACCTTTCTGAATATTCTGTGATAATATTTGGTTAAATAGTGATAACAGCGCCCACCGCCACCAATTTATTTTACATTAAGATGAAAACAAGTTAGTTAAAAATAGTTAAATAGGTATCTACCTTGAAAATATAATAAAACCGACCTTTTTTCATCGGTTCATTAATTAATAATTATGTCGGCGAAACGATGTAGAGAAATAAAGTGATGCCACTCAACTTCTTATCAGTGAAAATCTGGATGACAATAAGTGTATTTTCGCGGAGCTACCGAAAGCCAACGGTTTGCTGATTTATCAACATTTTTCACTGTCAATAAAATGTTTGCAGCTTTTCCAGCAGTTTGGAATACTCTGTTCGGTTTTGCAATTGTCAGATTTTATTTTTTGACAATTTAAACTTTTACTAATTCTCCAAATTTTACAAAATGTTGTTGTAATAAAAAAAATAAATGGAGTATACCCCATTCCTACATTCGACAATCATTCACTATACATTAACCTTTCTAAAGACATTTCTCCTAAAAAGATGAAAATTAGGTATTTCAACGCTATAGAAAACGTCCATTAAAACGATTTAAAGGTTTAACGTTTTTTCTTGAGAAAAATTGGCAATATTTATACATTTTTATTAAATTATATTCGAAGAGTTTTCTTATGTTTTTTACCTATCCAATGACAACAGATGCACACCACAGGATAGAACAAATTCTACAATTAAACAGGTAGCATAACCGTTGCATTGTCTTATAAAAGCAATTGTTTTAACGTTATACCTTCAGAAAAAAGGGCAATGATTTTAGAAAATTTCCCGAGACAAATGTTTAAATCATACCTTTATTTTATATTATCATATTTTATAAACTTATTTCTCGATTGCACTTACAATCACGAAGTCAGCTGTAATAACGAGCCCTATTTTATATTCTTTACTCGAGAAAAACTCGAGATAAGGTAATAAAAAAAAGTATTCGAGACACCATTTTGACTTTTTTTAACATTTCATAAAAGGTTTCTAGTCCGTACCTTTTTGCGTATTGAAATATATACATATAAAATTATGAAATATTTATTCCCCCATACCTTTTTTACCGGTATTATTCCTTGCTAACGTTTAAGGAAAAAAGTTTAATTTATTATTCATTATGTTAATACAAGTCCTATGCATAAAACAAAAATCCTTATAGTTTTTTTTTGTATCAACTGAATATCTGAATAGCAGAAATATAATATTTCCATTTTCCCACTTTCTTTTTTTTTTTATGCAGTTTCATTTCTACATCACTACACAACAAAAAACTGATACTCAAGAAATGTTTAAAATGGAAAACGTTGGCATAATTTATAATTGTTTTGTAGAGCAGTGAATATTTATTAAAATACATATAGAAACGAACTTAGTTTAAGGGATTAGAAATGATCTGTTTTTTTTTTTTTGAGGTTTTATATATTTGACTATTTAAGATGGTCGGTGGTACTATTTCATTTCTGTAAAAATACTTTGGCTACTTTACTTGGTTATATTGGTAACAGATATTTAATGTTTTAATTTTTGTAAACAAATTAAGTTTTTTTATTGAAATTTCTTTAAATTTAATTTATTTAATTAGAAAAAAATTGTATTTTTCAAACGAAAATCAGTTTCTTACATAACCCGGTAAATAAGGCTGATCAATTTTTATCATTTTACAGAATTAAAATCGGACCAGCCAAAGTCTCACATATATATCACAGTAAAAACATTTCTACCATCAAATGGCTTTTATTCATAGAAAAAATTGTATACTCTAAAAATAATACCCTTAAGCTTATACAAATAACTTGAAAATAAATTGGCATGGTAGAAATATATTAAAATCACTTTTGTCTTAAATTTTGCCTGTATAAAACGCCTTAAAACCCGTCCGCTTACAATCCAAAATTTTTAATTTTAATTAAAGAAAAAATTAACTTGGTTAAGCTAAATGTTTTCAAAAAAAAAAAAGTAATCTTCATTTTTTACAAAAACATTTTATAACAGTATTGTTGTCGATTAAATTTTGTTTATCACGCTCGTGTCCGACCTTTTGTGTAATCCTCAATTATATTTCATTTTGACTGTATTAAACAAATATATTATAATATGTATTAATGTGATTGTGTCTCAAGTCAAGGATCTAGAACTGGTTTTACAACCGCTCATAATTGGGAAAAAAAATGAAAAAATGTAGAATTTATGGTTCAAATTTCTAAAAGTATCCTATTTTTTAAAGCAACTTCAGTTTCATAATGTCTTGTCGAAAAATTAAACAAATATTTTTTACCACATTTGACAGTAAACTAAAAAATAATAATTATTATTGGCTGGGTGTGTTAAGAGGATGCTACTTTGCTCCTTAATAAATATGTTGTTTAAGGAGTAAAATATAGGCAATTTTTTGTAAAATCCTAATTTAGAACTTAAACAACTATTGTGTATGATTATTAATACATTAATGACGGCTCTAAATGACTAGCTGTTTTTTTTTGTCAGCCTATCTTAGTATTTTTATATAAAAAAGTTACACGATTTTTCCATCTAAAAAGTTTTTTGCTAGTCAAAACCAAAAACCCGTATTTTGTAGTAAAAATCTCCAAAATGTCACAATAAGTACAAGAGAATGTTATCAGCTGTGTTTAAGCGTTTCCAAAACTCAATCCACTGAGTTTTAACTATTTATTAATTAGCATGGCCGTATTCAGGGGAAGGGGGGGTCCGGATTCAAACCCCCCCTCCCGAAATTTCATCGATAAATGTTTGTTTTACTTTTCCTTTATGTCTTTTTTATAAGCATTCCTAAAAATTATGTAAAAAAAAGAAAAATATTTTGATGTAAGTTTTCTTTTAACTTTAAAGCCTAAAATAGAATTAAATAATAATAAATTTGTGATATTATCGTTATCGTCTGCTTAGGCCTTTGGACACGCCAATGAATTTTAGTTTTTTTTTTAATTTCGTTGGTGTACCTTATTGAAAGACGTCAATAATGACTGGGTAATAATGTTTACATTCATATATAGAATCGATTCAACCCTGTATATGAATAAAAGCACGAGTCGTGTTGATAATAAAAATATTATATATATATATATATATATACAAAGATAATTTATAGTGTACTTAAACTGTATTACATTTTTGGATTTGTACCCAAATACACACAAAAATAATAGTCATTATCAGCGTCGGCGACAACGACAGAACACCATAATCGTTTACTGGAAAAATCTGTTATTCAACCTGCTAAAATAGTCAAAACAAAAATCCAAATACACCATTGTAGAGATTCCAACGAATAAAACTGCACCTAAAAAACGTAATAGTGACTTGATAACCGAGGTAAAGATACATTCATACACTTGACATTTATCGACTACGCGGTATATATATATATATATATTGTTTTTATTAAAGAAAAAACAAAATACATTGTTATATCTACTACCTTTAAGCAGAGCTTGAGTTGGTAGTAGAGTGTTACATGTTACAAACTTAAATTATATATATTACAGTAACATAATATTGATATGGTTCTATTTAATTAAAATCCTAAACATTATTTACTAGTTTTATCTTAAAATAACCCCCCCCCCCTCCAAAAAATAAGTGCTGGATACGGCTATGTTAATTAGTACTAAAAAACCTAAGCTTTAAAAATGTGTAGAAAAAAATATTGCTTAAAATAACTATCAAAAAATTGCCACACTTAATACGATTTACTTTTATTTTCTAAAAATCTGGTTAATTTATTACTACCATAGCCTTTATAGTAGTTATTAAGCCAAACTCTGTTTTAACAGTACAAACTAAAATGTGGGTTTAAGGGGTTTTACATAGGCAATATTTATGAGAAAAGTGGTTTTAATAAATTTCGACCATATCAATTTATTTTCAGCATGATTTTTTCTAAGCTTCAGGGTATAACATTGGTACTATAAAATTTTGTTTTTACAATAGACCATATTTAGACCTTAAAGCCTGAAAACATTTAGAGTGATCGGATTTTAGTTCTGTATAAATATTTAAGCTCATTGCCATTTTTCCCAGATTATTATGAGAAAGTAGATTTTTTAATAACTGTTTCGTGTTTAATTAAAAAAAACCAATAGTAGGAATATGGTCAATGTGTGATTTTTTAGACAATTTGTGTTTTTTACAACCTAATGGATTTCATTTAGAAGACATGTCATAAAATACCTATTTTTTTTTTATTTTTGTCCATTGAAAATGTATTCCTTTTATATTTAACTACTTCGAAGAATAACTCATATTTATTTTTTAAATGCATAATTTTTTATTTTGTCAATTTTCAAGGTAAACAATTAAGTTACTTATAGTTTCATTTTAGTCTTTTAGAACAAAAAAAAATATGATAAGTATAGTTTTGGAATTGCTCAATTTCAATGACAAAAACAATTAATTATAATAATGGCTCGGTAAAAAAAAATTAAAATTATGCGCACCTCGAAAAAAACCCTTGATTGATAGGTTAAGGTTATTAAACAAAATCGCAATACACAAGTGAGTGGCTTAGTAATAATGTGGTTTGTGCATTTTTCACTACATTATACTATTTTGTTTATGAAAAATATTAACAATACTTTTACTCAAAATATATAATTTCCAAAAAGAATTGTCATACCTAAGTTATATCTAGATGTTTAAAATAAAAATTGCTCAAAAATATATGTTTGTAAAATCAATCACTTTACTTAAGGAGAACGGAAAGGGTTATTTATATCAAAGAACAAAAGATAGGCAATAGTTGACAGAAAATGATCTAGGAGCCTATTTATAAATATGTCAACTAATTTAAGGGTATAAAAAAAACAATTTTAAAATCGGTTCGGTTGACACCTTTTAAATTTTTTGGAGACACTTACAATTAAGTTGGTGTTTTTTTACAGTAAAAACAATACTTAAATTCTACAGCTCTATCATTCCTAAAGTAATAAATTAAAACTGATTTTCGCGAACAGTAGATATTTTCAGCAACTTAGTCTTAATTTAAACAAGTTATAAACAATTTACGTTACCACTTAAGTTTTAAAACTTGATAGAGATTTCGAATTTATTAAAAATCAAATAAACGTTTTAACATCATTTAAATACTGTAAAATAAAATAAAATGTCTTCAAAAAGTAAAGCTACAAGTTATATATTAAAAATTTTATCTTTTTTGGCGAGTTTTTAATTTCTATCAATTTGTACAATTTAAATGGTAACGCAAATGGTTTATTAATTTTTTTCAAGTTTATTATAATTTAATGAAAATTTCTGTACTGGTCAATGAATTTTAAATAGTTTTTTCGTAAGTAAATACAATTTAAAATTTAGGGCGGGCGGCGGAATAGCAGTTGAGTAATGTATGCTGATAAAAAAAAATACTGAACTCCTCCATTAATGGCTAACCATTTATCTTAAACTGTTTACCACGACCAGTTAACATTTTCAGTAAATTAGTTTTAGTTTAAAAAGCTAATGTAATGTACGCGTACGTTACCGTTAAAGTAGTTTTTAACATACCAAGAGGCTTTTGCGATTATTCTGAGGCAAATGGACTGGATGGCCCTAATTGTTTTGGTGTCTAAAGTTTTTGCTGATCCACAGATAAGAATATGCATAGTCGTGCGCAGACATTTGGTCTGGGGTGTGTTCTAAAATAAATGGGCCCTTATAATAGGTTGACAAATAAAAAAAAAACGGTTGATCGCATTTATTTTGCCCAAAAATCGAGAAAACAGTAAAAAGCAACCCCATTTTAAATGTTGTCACGTACAACCTACCCTAAACATAAATATATTAAAAAGTAACTTACAATAGTGGTATTTTTGCATTTTTTTGTTAAGCGAATGCAGAGTATTTCTAATTGAAAAATCATACATATCGGTAATTTTTGATATTTCACAAAAACAAAATATTAGAAATTTTAGGTTAGATGATGATAACATGATCATAACTCCAATATAATCTCAGATAAAATAATAACTGTTCACAAAATGGCAGCCTCCTACTGTAGTGGACATTTTCATAAGCAGCCGACCATGGGCAATACGCGTTCCATATATATTGAGTTCAGTGGCCCTATATGTTGGAGCTTGTTATTTTTTATTGGTATTTTCCAGTGTAAAAATGGTCGAAATCTTATTAAGTCGATAATCGAGTGTTTTTCGTTTTTCTTTTAAGTGCGGTGACCAGGTTAGGTGCTTGTCGAAAATGTCTTAAGCCAAAATATTTACCAAAGAACGTAGTGTACACATATGTGACGTGAGCCTATTGTGTTTCGTTTATTTTCCAATTTTTCATTTTAGAATTAAGAGTCGAGGTGAGATTGTATAATATGTGATGACTGATGTCTTTAGCTAGCTGCTAATATTATATTTTATTATTATTATTGTATAAACACACATGACACATGGCACACACATGACACATGACACACACACGTACTATATAGGTATCTACATATTATACTTAATATAATAATAATATAACGCGTACCTACCTACCTACCTACCTACCTGGTATGGGAGAAGTCGCGGTATAGTGTTGGTTCCAAGGTAGGCCGCTATTATAATATTATCATTATCATTATTATATACGCGTTAGGTTGTTGTTATTATTATTAGGTATTGTATACATTTATGGGCTGCGATGGCGGCGGCGGCGGCAAACGCAATCGGATTTGGCGGGACGTTTTCACCGATGACGACCGCGTGTTTTTGAATCCTCACCGTTGACCACATTGCCGTCGCGTCGTCGCTGCGGGTCGCTCGTACCTCGTTTGCGTTGTCCGTTCTTGTTTTTATTTTTTTCGCCCTCGCCCGTCATTATTATCGTTGTTGTCGTCGGTCAAAATTTTCAAATAAAGTATACAATAATAATATATATAGATCGATATCGGCAAACGTTTTCGATTTCTATATAATATTATATTATTTTTTATTTCAAAAACCGCACTCCGACCTATAATAATAACGATATTGTTGACGGCGGCGTAAACTTTTCGCCCGTTTGAATTTAACCGGTAAAACAAATTTAAAAAAAAAAAAATTACATCTACATTAGCCTATTAGATTTTTGGATTAAAATTTTTTTTTTTGCAATTGGTTTCAATCGTTCAACGCCGCAAGGAGAGAAGTTTTGGCTACCCAAAAATAAAAAACCGTCCAAGGGAATACAATAATATTACCTATTGAATTGAATTTGTCAAAAAGGTAAGACCACAGTATTCGATTTTCCACATACCGCGCTTGCAATTTTGTTGTGTATTAAATTTCGGTGGTGTACTTTCAATTCAATTCGTTATTCGAAGAATAACAAAACATTTATATTCATTTTACCCGCCAAAATTGCTTTTATCAGCTGTATATTATGGCTGTATGTAAACTGCGCCAAAAATGACCCTTTTTCTATAAGCTGATATGTAAACTGCGGCAAAATTTTTTTTAACATTTTACAAACTGCGACAATTTATTTTATACACCTACTATATAGTATATATATATATTATTATACTATTATTATATATTATTATACATTATTATTATATATTATTACTACTATTATATATACATACCGAATACCGAAAAGAATGCTATCTAGTACGATATATTATTATAGGTCTATGGTGTGCAAATAGTCAGTAGGAGTAAAGGAGTAATAATACAAATTAAAAAACAATTTTAAAATACATATGAAGTTGAAAAATATTATTATTTAACTAAAATGAATTTGTACATTTAATATAATACTGTCTAAGAAAATAAAAAAATATTATTATTACTATTTATATTTTTAAAACATACCAATTTAAAAAATTCGTAGGTTGAAATTTCTTTATCTTTTTTTTTTGTACGCAATAACATTATTAATTAAACGATAAACGTGTATAATAACACGTTAGTATATATTATGATTTCCGTACCTACACGAGTATATGTTACCGTATCGGTATGTATTATTGTATATAACTAATATAAGTATATTATATACTACAAAGTAGGTATATAAAATAAATTGTCGCAGTTTGTATAATGTTTAATTTTTTTTTGCCGCAGTTTACATATCAGCTTATAGAAAAAGTGTAATTTTTGGCGCAGTTTACCATCTCCCTATATTATTACCTAGATGTAGTGCATGATACAGTTTTGCTCGCCACCGTACCCTGACCACAGACTTGAGGTTGCGACATGATGTGAAATTCGAATCACTTTGTATTGTGATACTTTATTTCATAATGTCTATCATGACCGTTTGTGGTCGACTATAAATCAAAACCTAACACTATTTTTGCAACCTTACTTAACGTGTATTTTTGGGGTTACTTTTTTTGCCAACTCTGTTTATTCGGTTTTCAAGGTAGGTATAGTCGATGCAAACGGTCATAACAGTTAAATCATTTTTATCTGCCACATTTGCGCGTTATCACATCATTTTTGGGACCAGTTTTGCTAAAAAAAATGCTGGTTTTTATTAACAGTTCTCAACAGGTTGTGTATGGTAAATATAAGTCTTAATGTGTAAAGTAAAACTACTACTCTCAATTTTACACTGTTTTTACCGCTTTTAGAGTATGCCGAGTATGAAATAATACGTCTTATTGTTTTAAATTTAAACGGTTAGTCGTATGGTTTTATTATCGTTGTGGAATAACCAAAAAGAATGTCAGTTTAATTGGTTCGCTTTTGACTAAAATCATAAAATGTATATTATGTTTTTTTTTTGTTATTAAAGAGTTAGATGAGAAAATTAATTTTTTGTAGAGAGCGTTGAAGTCAATAGAGTCAATTCAATTGTTGAATTTATTTTGTGTACAAATATGATTTTGTATATTCAACGATTATTAATTTCTTATTATTATTTGATCATTTCAGCATAATACTACATTAACTTCATTACTTTTATATCTTTTAGTATTAATTCGGTCCATTATACAGGAAGAATTAACCTATTACGTTTTTACAAAAATAAATAATAATATATTATTTGAAAGCTTTGTAGGTTTCTAAGAACTCATTTGTTTTCTTTAAACCTCTATTACTTTGAAAAATTCGAATGAATTTAATTAAAAAAATCTTGCGTTTGAAAACAGGCAAGGTATTCCATTATAATTCTCAAACAAAATCAAAATCGCATAATTAAAAGTTTGCAATGTTATCTATATAGTTTATTAATTAAAGATGACGAAAAAACAGAGGGTTTACTAACCCTTAGTTAATTGAAAAAGAAAACAATATTGTCAAGATTGCAGTTTTTTCTACTTGTGAGTTCAGTTGAAATTTCACTATAACATTGTATTATAAATGAGTACACAAATTATTAAAATACATATTATGCTGAAAGTTAAAAAAATATATTGTTGAATTTTATTGAAGTTCTTTCAGAGATGCCATTTTCGCATTAGGAAATAATGTAAACACCAAAATATTTTTTGGACGGGAAGTATAAGATTGTTTGTAAACATTGTTTTTTCTGATAAATTATTGTTGTATAAATTATATTTTAATTGTACAAAACATGTTTTCTCGGTTTTGTCTTTCGAGGCCATCCCTTTGAAACAAATTTCCTATTGTAAGACGGTTGTTCTTTTTTTTATCTCTATCGGATTATTAAGATTACATCAATGTAAGTAATTCATAGTCGACTTTGTTGTATTTTTTATAATATAAGTCAGGACATGTTGAAAGTAACTGGATGGGACAAAAGCTGTGGGGAGTTGTGACTTTTGACTTTTTTGATCCCCTTTGATCGTAGGATAGGTTTAGGTGTAAAGAAATCATTTTTTATTTTTTTATTAGTAGAACTTTGACTCTTGAGAATAGGTACATGAAAATATCATTTTTGTAATATTGTATATATACCTATGTATTTTATTTTTCTACCATACACACGACGCCTTCGACGATGCAAATGCAAAAGGGAAATGGCTTTTGATCCGGAAGGCGTTGGTTTTTTAACATATTTTTTCGCAACGAAACCGGTAAGTAGAATTATATATCTGCTTTTTCGGCAGCTCTTTTTCCCGTAACGATCCCGTCGGGGAATAGCTAATATTATATATCACTACACCTTTTGTTTTTAAATAATACTGGCTACCGAGCAAAATATATTTTTTCATAAACTCATGAAATTTCCTGTGAAATATTTAAAGCGCAGGTAGAGCTCTTTGATTAACTGCTAGACCCTTTTGCCGTTATTTTTGTTGATGGTAATACCCTGTTATCTTTCTCGATTATCGCATTATTTCGGTGTGTGTTATTATTCGAGTTTATAACGTTAAAATTAAATCTTCAACACCATTAAGCTGTTAATTAGTATTGTTTTTTCGTTTTAGACAATATATGATTAAGTGTACACAATTCACATAAAAATATGACATACTCGAAAACTTTTCTTGATTATTTTTTTTTTCGGTTTCCGCCTTTTAGTTGTGTTTGAATTCGGTTAGGTACTTGACAGCTGTAGGATTTTTAACATGTATGAGGATAATAATATGGCATAACATAGAAGTCTAGCCATTAAATGGTTGTGGGTGATTATTTGATTAATATTAGTTGATAGTTACTAATTATATAACCACAATGGGTTGATATTATAACTTCAAGATAGATGGACATACTATCTGCGACTGTCAAAGTTGTAAAACACAGTAATGGGTTATTCCACGTAAAGCCGCCCTAACAGCCTTTCCCTTATATTTAAAAATTCCCTTAAACACCAGAATTATATTTGCAAAATGTTGTCTAAGTGCATTTTTGTGTGTATTACGCTTAATTTGATAACCGTGATTGATGAACCGCAGTAAAATTATGTTCACATTTTTAGTAATAATTTTTGAACCCTTCAACCCCATAAAAGGGTTTGATTAACTTTTGTGCTCATATTTCTCTGAACCTATTAATCACCATTTTCGCCATTACTAGAAATTTCTGTGAAAAAAACATTTGTATACTCTCGAATGTGGCTGAAATATGACAATGACAACATTTTGCGACCATCAATATTGAAACCATAAGTAAATTATAATATACTATTTTTTTTAAAAAGTTCTTTATAAAATAAACTGTTTATTTATAATTTTTTATTACTTAGACGTAAGAGCTATCCATACATATAATGTTAAAAACATCAAAACAATAGGGTACCTACAAATGTCAACTGATTTTTTTCTTATGCAGTCGACCCATTAAAAAAAGGAGTAAAAGCGGTTTCACAAAGGCCGTTAAAACAATTTAAGTAGCTACTAATGTATATTTTTTCCAACACAATGCAGCAAACTAGTTTTATATGTACTCGTTTGATAAAAGCCGGTTAAATTCTTGCAATTGCATTTGAAATACACGGGATGATTATCGTCTTCGATCGGTGTATATATGGTATTAAAATAATTATCATTATTATTATATATATTATACATAAATCATTACCGTTTGTAGCGTTTCACGTAGGTACAGCTATTTTAGCCGATGTTCTCTTGACATAATTATAACATAATATTGTATATAAATAACTATTGTAGGCTTGTCGTTATTATTGTATGAACTTTGTTGTTTGTTTAATTTACAAAAACAAACGTTATTCAATATAACAACACCTTAAGCGGTGTACAGATTGTATTGTCATAGTACGCTGGTAATGATGATAATAATAATAATATAGGTAACGAATTTGTGTTGAAATCTTATTATTGCTATGATTTACCTTAAATTTTATGGTAGGTATTCGAAAAGGATTTTTGAAAAGTATAAAATTTTATTTAACGAAAAAAATGTAAACCGTCAATTTAGTTAATGTGTCTAAATCGCGCAGCTGTTAGTGTGACAAAAGTGCATGTTTATGTTTTTAATAATGTAACATACGTGTGTATATCGAGGCACATTATTAAAACAAAACAAAAAAATAGAAAACGATTAAATCCCATAACGACCGATTCCAAATTACCTTCTTAACGTGTTTTGGAGTACCGATTATTACTATGCGGTTATTAATTATGTAATACCTATTCATGAACGAATCCGATAATACATTCAACATTGGCTTACATATTATGATTTATGATGACCTAAACCGCTGTCGTTCTTTCTGTTATTACTGATATATTAATTCCTAAACGTTTTTATATTTTTCCGTTTTATAGCCAGTTCTTTGTATTACCCCGGCTAGGTTAGACAAGGGTGGGTTGCACCACTCCGGGTCGTCGACAGCAATTATTAAA